CACTGCGCGATAACAGTTCATTATAATTTATATTTTGAAGTGCAGTTTTATCTTTTATAGGACGTGCGTAATAAGTAGTTATAACGTACTTACATTGATATTTTCTATGCACTATTATAAATACTTATTAAAATTCTACGGTACAATTGAAGTACGGTGCGGTACGATCCGTTATTTGTATAGATATGGATCAAAGCTAGAGTTGAGAAGTCGAGTAGGTAGGTCTATTAAAAGTTCTGCATTTTAGTTAGCCAAACCAAAGCATACATTGGTTTCGTTTGTAGACCCGATAATCGGAATAAGTATAATATAGACAGCGAAGCCTTAAAATACCCAAATTAAGTGTGTCAGTTACTCAAAGGAAGGTGTCAGAAGCAGGTTATTCATTGAATTATGACTCCACTTTATATAAAATATATTCTCAGATTATTTTGCCATTAGTCACTCAGGTTTGCATATACTACTTGTAACTGTTGTATGAAACTTAATAAACTTTTATTTACAAATAAAATAGACCTAAATAAAACAAATACTAACTATTACTTAAGAGACACTAAAACTGATGGAAAAAAATACTATTTACAAAGAACATCAAAAAAGAAAAAGAAGAAAGAACATAAGTACAAAACAATATACTATGGTACCCAATAAAAATCTGTTGACGGGTCTAAAGGAATTCGTGAGTCGGCTATACTAAACCTAGGACATGATGTGACTCACGAAGCCTACAGATGGATCATGTCTGCGCTGTCCAACGTTTAGTGAGCAGACGGTGTAGTACGAGTTTCGTCTGAGTCTGATTGGTTGATTTATTCGAGCTGGCCAATCAGATCTCCGAACACGATCTCGTTTCGATTACTTTAAGCGAAAAAAACAAATTGGTACTAAGGCCTTTGATATAACTTCTATGTAATAAGATAAATAGTTGCCATAAATGAAATTAGTTAGGTAGGTACACAGGTCTAAAGCAATTCGTCTGTAGGCTATAGGAATAATATGAACTTGGAAATGTAGCATAATCTTGATTACGTCAGGGCTTTGCCACCGGCACCGTCTCGGCGTCGCCGGGGCCTCGAAACTTCGCAAGGTCAAGGATACCAAGAAGGACAAATGGATCTGATCCTATCTTTGAAATTGCTGAACGAAGGCCATTTGTGGGGATACAAAACAATTGATTGTTTATTTTTTAGCTAAATCGAAACGTTCTCCAAAAATACGGTTAATATTTTGCTACGGAAGAAAATATTTTCAGGAAACGGCAAATTTTTGGTTTAAAAACTGAATTCTTTTGGAAAATTGTAATGTATACTTCGTCTAGTCCACATTGTAGTAATTACACAAATATTATTCTCTCTCTCAGCTGCTCACATAGGCAGCATTCTATTCTATTCTAATCATGTCATACAGTATGTACAAATTAAGATTTGGGAAATTAATTTATTGCCATCCTATATTTAAGAGTCTCAGAAATAAGGTCCACATTAGATCATGTTGCAGAAATACTGCCATTAAATATTTTAACAGCTTCTAACAATATTTTAACATTGTATGGATCATAGCTGTTGCAAAAGGAAAAATTATAATGAAACACAAGCACAAGTAACATGCACGATAAATACATAAAATATAGAGCAATGTAACGCTACTGGATACCTCCCATATGCTTTGTTCAGTATACTTTTAACATCATCTCACTCAATAACGCTAAAATCTCCAAGTAAAATCAATACTCAGCCTCCGACATGGACCAGTTTCTTTCTTTATTTAATGTCTATAGCTTCTGATAAAGATTATCTCATAATGTTGTCATTCGTATTTTTTACCAAACTTGTTTTTATTGTAAGTAAGTAGATATATAAGCAATAATAATAATAATTAGATTACCTTATACAATGAATATCCGTTGAAGGACCATAAGCATTTACAAGGAAGTGCTTCACAAAAAACTCACATTTTCATTGATAAAATCTATATTTTTGTTACAATTAATATGCTATTAATTTCGTATTGGAATCTGCAAGCACACACGTTTATTCTGCCTCGCATGCCGCGGTAACTAACTCCAATAGAATTCAATTCTATGAGATAAGCCGTTTTAGATTTGGAGCTCGCGAATGTGGTAACTGCGCGGTCAGAAAAGAGACAGCACGAAAACATAAAAACATATCGTATGCCTGAAAGAGACGACCGCATGATTGTCAGTTTGTACCAGATAACCTCCAAACTTTTGACAGCTTTGTTTACGTGACGTAACCACATGATGTCATGGTAACGCCGCCATTTGCTATTTTTGTGGTTTTGGCGGGATTTTTATTATAAAGCCAATGTTATTAGTAACAGTAAAGTTATTTAGTTTATTGTATCAAGTGTACTTTTTAGTGCCGAGAATCTTATTCATTATAATATAAGTAACCAGGATCATTAAACAGGATGCTGTCGAGGATCTAACCTAAGGATTTACAGATAAAATACCTACCTACGACCACCATACACACATAAACCGTACATACATACTTAACCCCTGGTATGCCGGGAGCGTAGATATACGCGAGACACAATGTGTTTTCTATTGTGTCTCACATGCCGGCAGATAAGAGGTTAAGTTCGAACTTATAGAAATAGGTAAACCAGTAAACTTGTATATATTTATTATTTACACGTCAGAAACACCTACTTACCCACATTTTTGTTCTAGTTGAAGTTCACTTCAGCGCCATTTTTATTGAAATCGAAGTGTTTCAAGATTTAGAATAGCACGTAAAGGATTTTTGAAAACTTATTGCTATTTACATTGTTAAATAACGATTTATCTACTTACGGCCTTTCTCTTACCGCACGGCGCACCGTAATAATTGCATTAAGGTGTTAATTTAGCCATATTTGTACATTTTTATTACAAACAAAATTAAAGCAAAGATAAATAGGTATTTATCTTTGCTTTATGTAATTTTGTTTGTAGTTATTTCTGCGTTTCTTTTCGACGAACGTTACGTAAAAGGACTAAGGATATTCGTAGCAATATCGTCGTAGCGGCCGCAATGCGCCAAAATAAGACGCAAAACAAGGCAACCACGCATTAATAGGTTTTATTTAGTTCATAGTCAAAAAATTGGGTAGTTTCCAGGGTCTCTAAAATAAAAATCTAAATCCGTCAGTTAGATAATGAAAAATTATTATAGACAAGTATTTTTTTATTTTCTCGTATTAAGTTGTAATACTTAGATAAAATGTCGCTAGGTTTAGGAGTGGGAGGTTGTTACGTCATAACGTGCTACAAAATGTGGCACGCTGTGACGTCACACGATATTTCAAATTATTATATCGGCGAAAGTAGGTATTTAATTTTATGAGAAAATAATATTTTTTTGTCTAACATTTTAAATTAATCTACCACACAGACATTAAAATAAAATTTAGGAAACTACCCTATTATGAACCTAGATAAAGGTGGTAATAAGACTCATTATATAATGTACGTAGGCATAAAGTTCAAATAAAAGATAACACATTACTCGGACTTTCGATTTATTATAAAAAAACATTAACACAGACTTGGACCCAAAGAAAGCGTGGGGTTACCTAAGATCTGGGTACAAAATAGCGCGATTTATGAGCTGTTCTTTAGCCTTTATCAACATTTTACCATGTTCATATAATTCCCTTCTATATTTAATTAGTCTCCATGCCAGCAGTGCTAGCTCTCGAAACCCGTAGTGCAGTAAGCGACAATGATTAATTAGGAATAAGGACATAAAAATTATTAAAAAAATATTAAGTAAGTTGGTTTAACGGTGAACGAACTTTTTTCTGTTAGATATCAGTAAACTGCATCAAAAATTTATACATTTTCATAATTAAGTAGCTATCTCTAAACTCTGAATTATAACTATAGTCCATCTGTTTAGGTAATTAACTAAAGGTAAACAAAGAAAACCACGTGACACAGAGATACTTAACCTACTATTACTTCAAATATTTCTCGTCATTTAATTTTAACTAAATTCACTTTAAACTCGTTCATTTGTCATACACACATATACAACTACAAATGCCTAAATCGTACAAGAGCCTTGCCTATGGGTCTATTTCATTATCATGTTTAAATAGAAACTATTCTGAATCTGATGTACGGATTTCTTTCTTGTACGGATATGTGTCTTTGGGCCAAGTTTCTTCAATATATTTGAACACATTAATTACAAACGATGAATAACCTAAACTTGAATAACTTAATAACAAAAACAAAAGAAAGAAACAAGATAAATTCAACAAAATAGGAACGCGAGCGCAAACGACGAGAGAGCTGTCAATGGCGCCTGATTAACCGACTAAACGTAATACACGCTACTTTCATTGTCGCGCTACATCTTAGTTGTACTCTTTAATTTGACAACATTATTTTGCTTCGTTCTTAAAGAAAAGTTTTGGATACCTGGGATTTTAGGCTCTTTATGGTGTCTATTGCAATGAAATGTTATACTATTTAATAAATGTTATTAAATTAATATCCTCAAGCAGATATATATAATATTTACTAAGAAATAAGTGAAAAGGAACAGAAACATAACATTTAATAGAGAAAACTGTCGTAAAAAGGGAAACAATTTTATTTTCTTATGAAGTATTTTGAATCATGGAAATGTCAACTATAAAGAACTCTTTTTATGATTTGTTTACAAATAGTTAACTACCTAAACAGACGGAGTATAGAACTGTCAGAATGGTGTAGGTATAGATTGGGGGAATATTTTTCTTTATATCTATATTTTTATACAATGCTAGGCAATATTTGCGAAACTTCACAACTAAAGCTTTAAATTACTTGTAAATAATACAATATATACAATCGAGCACAACATGTTCAAACCCTCCACAGCTCAGCCTTCTTACTAACAACCTTACTTTCACAATTATCACCTTATCGATTACATTTCCACTTATTGGAAATGGCGGAGTTTAATTTCGTTAAGCAGTCTTATCCGAATGAAAATAGCCGTTCGTCAGCAAAACACGTATGGCCTAACACATATGGGACATCTATCTGAATTCGCCAGGCATTTCCTTAAACAGTCTGCGTGGAAGAAATGGGCACAGGGCGTCACTCGTGCGGACTTCATAGTTCCCAAGCACACTGCACAAACGTCCTCAAGTGTAGCGAGCTCTTCTGTCGTAGCTCGCCTAAACCTCGCCAGGGAACCCCTAGCTTCTTGCAGCTTCATGAGAGCTTCTCCAAGCCTATGTCTTCCGTGAACGAAGACACATACGTAGAAAAGCAGAGCGGATAACCTCCATCGCTCGTACCATATCAAAGCTGGCACTAAAGGCAGGGCCAGCACTGTAGTAATAGCTCTGGCCCAGACGCCGAAGTATAGCAGCTCCATGCCTTCTAACCTCTCCAATTTTAAAGCAGTAAGTCCAATTGGCCAGAGCTCCAAGAAGGTTCTCTCTGTTAAAAGATAGTATGTGCCAGTTATGGCTGTATACAATGCTGTGGGCTTATAATGCTCCAATCCTTGTTCCAATCCAAGAGCGAGGAGTACGAATGTGATGGTGACAATAAAGGTAACCGCTTTCGTCCATTCCAGGACTATCTTCGTGGCTGACATCGCGAGGTGCTTGACGCGGGAATGGCGAGTGACGTTGACGTAGGGTGACCAGTCTTCTTTGGTGCAGATCTCACGGACATAGCTGACGGAGTAAGTGACGACGTTGTAGAACATCAAGGAGTAGAGACAGGTCAGTCTGCCTTGGGAGACCAGCAGGCGGTCGCAAGCTGTGAACATCAGTAACTGGAAACAAATAACCAATTTTAATGTTTAATATGACTAAGAATAGAGGATCAAGATTTATTGAAGGATCAGAAAATGTCATTTTTACCTGTCCAATCATAGTTGAAAGATTGTTCATCTGCAGGAAGAGTTTCTCAGCGCGTTCTACCGGCGCATACACAGCCTTCATGACTCCCATCACCCGCGATACAGGTGACCGCAACTTCTTTGCCAATTCTGAAATAGTAATAATTTATGTTAGCCGTTTTCCAATAGTTGTCTACTTATAATAATGTGCTTTTATCCTTTTATCCAGAATTAAGGTGTGAAATTGCCCACTTCTTTCTTGTTTTGGACGGTAGGTATACGTAGATGTAATAAACCCACTCTAAGCCCGGAACATTATAAATGAAGGACATCGGAAGAAATTGGGGAAGTCGTTACTTCATTTTTCTAGAGTCACGTAATCTAGGTTTGGTGATATTTTCAGAAAAAAATTACTACGCTAAGTAGGTACACCTATTTAATTGCAGATTTTTAGTTGGAAAATAAGTGTAATTAAAGTATTTAAGAAAAATCAGTATAGCAACAAAGAGATGAGCGTGGGCGGGTGTCACCCTGTCACTTCACGTTGACCACACCAACTTTACACTTGACTGTCTCAAGAAATTTTCTCTCATTTGCATATTTTTTTCTTAAAGGATACCATTTTAGCCTCATTTCTGTAGGAAGAGGTAAAAAATATGGATGTTATTTGTAAAAAGTAACCAGTCAAAATTATTGAAACCATCTTAAAAATTTAGACTGAAGAGAAGATCTCAAGAATTTTGAGATTGTTTCCACGCGGTTTTGTTGATCCGGCCCCTTCTTCTCTTGCTTTCCTTGATTATTTTGTGAGAATAAATGATATAGATGTGTGATTTTATTTAGTCGATATGCAGATTTTCACGTCAGCCAATTGAAAGATGAGACGAAACAAAAGAACCTTATCATCATCATGTGTGGTTTTTTTTTTTTTTTAATATTATAAATTATTTCTCCACGGACTCTAGGTCCGTGCCCTTGTCATACAGTTTTTTAATTATAATACATCTAGTCAATTTTTATAAAATAAAGAGGGAACCTAGTTACACTACAATTAACTACATCTAAAATTATTACCAAAAGTATAGGTTACATAATAATTAGGCACTATTTATTTATTTCTATTTCAAAGGCTTTATGAAACCAGCCCACCAACAAGATGGGAGAGCCGACCTGACCCAGCAGAAGGCACCCGTTCACGAGTATGACGTGTGTGTCAGCAATTGGTCCGGTCAACCTTTTTATTGGGAACGGAACAACCCAACACACAGCGCCACCGACTGTAGGACATTTATGTGTGCATGACGCCTCAACCTTTGCCACATGGGCCGATTCCAATAAAGCGTACAATAGTCCAAAGTCAATTGGTTATATTCTATTTCTACATGTTTCTGCACACACATTTCCTCATGTTGCATTCGTTCCATCACAAGCAACACTCCCCGCCCAAGAGAGCACCCATGACTGCCGCGTCCCTGTGTCTGATAGCCATTTTCAGGTTGTAGTCCTTAATACCTTGCTCACCCTCATCAGCCGCCTTCCTGATTAGTTTGCTTATCGCGTCTTCACTGTTGTCTGTGTAATAGATGCAACCATGCGTGTGACGCGATATTGCTACTACCGCGTGTGGTACGCTGTCATGTATTTGATGTTTCTTTGTTGCTGTGTTGACAACAATCACATTCGCACACGAAAGTCCCTGTGCCTCGTGTATCGTGAGCACGCGTGATCCCACGGTCGACCCGTATCCCTGGTTCTTAAGGGATTCCTTCTCTGCCTGAGTGTGTACCAGGTATAAAGTGTCGGGGAGTGACTTTGGAATCATCGCCCCCGAGAACCTTTTTATCTCGAGGGATCTCACGAACGACCTGGACGAGTATATGCCACTGTAAACTGTGCTGAGGGCATACGCCACATCCATTGGATTTCTGTGGGTACACATCAATTCCTGGCTTATGGGCGTGATATATGTAGGGCGGCTGTAGAGTAGAGGGAAGAGGTTATCACGATCTATAAACGGAAGCTGATTTATGTCACCAATTAGAAGGACTTCCTTGGCTCGAGTTATTCGGGCGGCCATCACAACGGCTCCAAAGTGGTTCATGAGAGCCTCATCTACCATTAGTCGATGGCAGCTCTCTCGCTCCCCCAAGCCGTTTACTAGGATGGACGCCATTGTTCGAACCCTAGATTTGACGAGTCCTCCGATTCGGCAGGATAGTTTGCCTCTGAGGTCATTTGCTGCTTCGGTTGTCGTGGTGACAATTAGATCTTTGCCCGCTTCAAATTGATCTACTATCCATGTCGTTTTTCCGCAACCAGGGACGCCATTTGTCCAGCGAAACGTCGGAGTATGCCAGTCTCCAAAAACTTCGCCGTCTGATCCAGAATCAGAAATGGATCTTGCCATCTCTAATATTCTATCGTCCAGCATAATTCTCGTGCATTTGGCAACCACTACTAGGGAATCCCCTGGAGGAGTTTTAAACTTTAACACTCCGCATCGATCGGATTCCCTCTCGTCCAGAGACACAAATCCTGCAGTTGCGTTATAAGCAGCCATACTTCGAGTTATAGAGGTTCCTCTCAGTACCCTCGAGGTGTTGTTGTCGTATATGACTGCTTCTGCTGCTTCGAGTCTATCGTTCAGTATTAGCTCGTTTCCTTGCAGGTAAGTCTGCAGAATGGATTCGCATTTCCGCATGTTGACCTGCCTGGTTGCCTCCACCACTGCGGTAAACTCGAGAAAAGCATTTACGACATGGTCTCTGGTAGTGGACGCTTGTCGAAGCCTCGGCGGACAAACGTGACCCATAGCTGCTCTTGTTGGTGATGACCTGGGGGGAGGAGACTGTATTTGTGCGCCTCCTGATCCTTGAGCAGATTTAACCACATTTTTTCTGAAGGGTGACGAAATCAGTCCGGTTACTGAGCATATGGCCGCTGTTATTGCCCACACTCTACCTCGTGATTCTAATTTTTTATTTTCCCTCTCGGTGTTTTGTTGGTGTTGTTGCAGAGCGCTTTGTTGCCTATATCTTTGTTGTAGACGCTCTGAGCCGCTTGGAGAATCCACCCCTAGCGCGTATCGAACTGGCTTTTTGAGGAAACTCAAGTCCTCACCCCTGTTCTCGTACACGATGACTTCATGATGTTCTGAAGCCCTGACGCATCCTATAAGGTCTGCCGTTCTCCCCTTCTCATAAGCTACCACGGCAGCGTCCACACTAATTATTCTGGGAATCATACCCTCGACCTCTCCCCGCCCACCCATGTCCGACAGCACACCGCAAGCTTGTTCAAAACAAGTCATTGAGTCGACGCTGGAGAACATTGCAATTGTTTTATTGCGTGTTCGCAGTAGTCGACAGCTCCGACCCAACAGTTGCATTTCTGGCAGCGCATCGTATGTTTTGCGCCGCATACTTGTCTTGGATGTGCTGCCATTCATTAGGGAGGCTAAGCCGGGTGAAATAGTAAGCCATTTGCTGTTCTTGCTTTCGCAGAAGGCTATCCCTAGCCTTTCGCTGCTGGTGTTCATGAACAGAGCTACACTTCGTAGCCGTATTCCTTTGGAGCCGCATTCTCCATGCAAGAGTATTTGCCTCTCATTGATGGTGAGCGGTTCAGTGGTACGGGCGATCTCGGATACTGCCATGGAAGTATTTTGTTGATTCTCCAAGTTGGCTATTCGATTTGTATTATTTAATGTGCTGTTTCTTTCAGCCGCCCTGTTGAAGATGGTTTCAATGTAGCTCAGAAAATGCGGTCTTTTGGTTTTATCAGCCAGAATGGCACTCAGATTTGAGGAATCCAGATTTGCATCTATTACATTTTCTAAGTTGGTTCATCATGTGTGGTTATAACTGGTGAATATTTCCTTTCCGATTTTTCCTTTTTTGCCGCATTTGAAAGAAAAATAATGAAGATATCAAATTTTATTTTTGCCTTGGTTCTATTAGATAACAATCATCCCCGTGACAACGGCTATAGTGGCTGACCACTGGGATGTTTGGTATAAAAGGACCACCACGGCACAAGGGTAGTCAGTTCAGAACTACGCTTCAACAGCTACATCCACCTTCCAACACCACATCGGAAAGAATCTGGTAAGTAAATTTTTCTAGTTCATATTTTCCAAAGTTTAATGTTTTTTCACTTATAAAATACACAACTTATTGTGTCCTATAGGCCAGGTACATGTATTTTTATTCTGTTACTTTCAATATCTTCTAAATGAACACCAAAACGGAAAAACAAACTCATCTAAGAGGTTAAAGCTCTTACAGAGAGTGGAATTGCCTGCCTTCAATTCAGGTAGTTCGTATGTAGGTATTCGTAGTTCCTAGTTCAGAAAAAGAATTTCACATTTTACATATACTCCGGATATAAGTTTAGGATTCACCAAAAAAATCACTTTATCAATCTCTCAGACAAGATGTGCAATCGTTTGACTTTGTATTAATGACTGTCCATATATCTGATGTTATCTCACCGTTGGACAGACTAGGTTAAACACATAAACTGCATATACACAATTCGTGCCCAAGATCACGTATTAATTGAAAGAGATGTGTTCTAGTTACGAAAATAGTAACATTGGGTAACAATCACCCGACAGATAATTCTGAATGCTTAAAATTCTTCGCGGTTTTAAGATGTCATGCCCCACGCATTATTGGAATTTTTATAGCAATTCCCTCGTTTGTCAGGCAAATAATTATTAGGTTTTATTACAACGACTTGTCTGTAGTAACTACTTATGCTGAAGTTTTGCAAAATATTTTGTCGCTATTCGAGACTCCGTTTAACTAATGAAAGAATCTAAATAAATAAGACTTTCAAGATCCAATTTAGAATTTGATACCAGTCGGGTTTGGAACCATTTGACTAAATACTATATACATATACCTACCTATATTTTGTCCTTGGGCGTTTAAATCATGATTATTTAAAATTAAAGGAAAGCGTATTTGTTTACAGTCCTGTCCTAAATGCGCACCATATGTTGTACTGTGTATCAAAACAAAATTATATTTTGAATTCGTAAATAATAAACACGACGCTTTCGACTGTTGACATTCGCATATTGTGTTTTAGTCGAAAATATTTAACTTCTCAGCTTTGAAATGTTTTTTTTGCACAAAAGACAAAATTTTTATAAAATTTTATAGGTAAGTACCTACTAAGTTTCATAAACCTGTTTCTTATATGTAAAGTAAATAAAAAGTGGATGTATGTCAAATGTTAAAAAAGAGGATCTGAGAGGACAAATAATATTCTGCTTCTGGGCGTGTAAATTCATCACGAACAACACATCTGCGTTGCACTACATTGCCCACCTTCCTAAAATACTTATCACATTCAATTGTGTATGTAAGATGCAACAAAGTGCTCCCAATTTACAGGAAGTACACACCCACATTACATACATAGATAGATGCGTCTACCAACAAAATTATAGGACGTAAAACTTTCAACTCGTGCCCAGACTTTCTTCAGTCCATCTCAATAGTCACTATGGTTCATATACACAAACATGTGTTCTTGTTTAGACGCAAAAATACAAGTAAACTTGGTATGACGCACGCGCACTGGCCGTCCGCCAGTTTCCGTCGCCCCATTCAGCTTCATCTCGACAATGACCTGACTTTTCCACATAAATATAAGCCCAAGACTACAACAATAACACTAACAAGGCGTACAATTTTAATTAACTACGATAGATACCTACTAGAATCTCTGGAATACCTGAAGGCATTATCTGTATATGCACTAAACATTCTGATCTAGATTTTTTTTAATTGCATAAGCCGGTAAATGAGCATACGGATCACCTGATGGTAAGCAATTGGCGTCGCCCATGGACATCTGGAACACCAGAGGCGTTACAAGTGCGTTACCGGCCTTTTGAGGATTAGGAGTTTGAGGATCGTTGGGGATTCAGGGATTGGGGAGATTGGGGAAGGGGAGGGTAATTGGGCCTCCGGTAACCTCAGTCACACGACAGAACACAACGCAAGCGTTCCTTCACGTCGGTTTTCTGTGAGGTCGTGGTATCACTCCGGTCGAGCCGGCCCATTCGTGCCGAAGCATGGCTCTCCCACACTTAATTAATAACCAACATTCGCTCAATTCAGAGAGTATTTGGTTGTCTTTCTTTGGCGTGATTGCATCTTATGAAATGATTTTTGTGTCTGCAGATGGGAGCCTGAAGAATAATATAGTTAGGCTTATTTTTCCTTTTATCAGACCTGTGAAACCGAGGTAGCAGCTATACCGTTTATTGAATAAGATAAACAAAATACAATTTAATTATAAAATAGTAAGTGGTTTTCTTAATTAAACAATTGTGTTTCTGAATGAATATGATACGTTTTCCGTCTGTTATTAAAACGTTTCTTTTTATGTTGACGGACTTGTAACAGGTAATGAAAGCCAGATGCAGTTTCATTAGTTTACGTCAATCTTTTTCACGCTAAGAAACTCATTAAATAAAAACAATTTTAATTCAACTGTTTTTCTTATCTTCATATCACAGATTGTGTTACTTCAAAACAAAAATAATAAATTATCTTCTCAAGACATTAGAGGTTAGATGAATACAATTTGTAGATGGAATTATTTCGAGAACACTTAATTGGAATGTTCTAGAAAATTCGTGCAACAATGATTTAAATGGATTATGTTGTTACGCCATATTGTGCATCTGCTACGTCACTCATATAGAAATCTGGAGCATTATTTTTCTGTCAATGACGAGTGAGTGAAACATGAAACGACGCGTGGGTTGCATAGGTCGGGAGATTGGCACACCCCGGTGTTTATGCTAACCGTTTGTTTATATACATACTTTCCGTCATTCTAGGCCTTAATACAACAATTTTCTGCGTCGAAGAAATCAGTTAACGATTCAGTGGGCGTTTGTTGTTTGTAAACGTTATATTTTTCCTATTTTTCTGTTATTTTCCGAAATGCTGCCAGAAGATTTCCGGATGCCAATAGATATATCCGTTTCTAAGATAATTTATGTTTTAAAGCAACATTTGTGTCTCTATAATTTACACACAGAAATCAAAACAACGGAACTTTTCTGTTTATAATTTTCTGACTTTTTGTGGTCTGGGTATCGTTTTTCACAAGGGTAGTTAAGTAATTGCTTACTGTTTTAGATCATAACACACACTTTCATTTCCTTCCAATTGATCGATCCTTATTATTCGGTATCAGACCTAAAAATATCATTAATAAAATAATGATTCGTACCTTGAGCGAGTTTGACCACGGCAGGGTACCACGTCGCTGGGTATTTGTAGTTGGCTGAGATGAGAACAGGCACCACCAAACACGTGTACGCAGCCATCAGCCAGGCACCGCCGAGCGCCACCAGCAACCCTCTCGGCGCCCAATATGGTAATAGTAGGACCAAGGACAGCAGCCATACTGGAATTTAAAATCAGCCATATTTAAATTACTTAAAATATCATCGAAATATAATCATATTCAATGCATTCCTTTTTCAGTGACCAAAAGACAAAGTTGATAAAGTCAGAGGAAAAGAATAAATTTTAGTTTTTTACATAACCATTATTTTAATGCTCTGCTTTATTATTAGTGGAATCAGTATGTTTCATTTGAAAATTGACACATTTTCATGAATTTTGAAGTATTTTTCGACCTAGTGATGGCAAGGTGCGCACTTTGTGTAAATAACAAGAGTTTATAGTAAATTCAGAAGATAACGATATGTCAAGGTTACTTCTAACTGCCAGCTCGTAAAAAGGCGGTAAAAATAAAAAAAAGAACAACATGCCAGAGTCAGTGCACCGTAAACAATTATTAATAACTTTTTAAAAATAAGAAATGCTTTGACGTCGCCGATAAATAAGGCTATTCCAGCCAGATATTTAGGAACTTTTCGAGTTTCCTTGTGAAGTACCTAAAGTTTATCTTTATGTTTTTGCGTCAACATTGCTCATGTTGAAAGCTTCCTTTATGCTTAACAAATCAAATATTTTTGTTGAAACACAAATCGTTCGAAGAATCTTTCAAAGAATTTAATATATGGAGGCATGGAGGGCAGTAAATAATATTATGGATGGATAACAAGTTAAAATAGACGAAACAAATTGTTCTGTAAACTAGAAAAGAGTTAAATATTATTGAAGGTGAAAATAAACAAAGTTACGGACACTTCACAGGGAAACTCTAGTGTATTGTTTATCGACGTTTTTTACCGAAGATTCTCCGAATAGTTCTAAGAATATCGACAACTAAAAAACTAATAATAACACCTACTTACGAACATAATAATGTAAGCAGTAGTTGTAGGTGTAGATACATTATAGTTGCTGAAAACTTCATTACAGATCAATTGGTTCTGGTTGATTTCTTGATTCGTTACTTTTCAGAGATTAGCAGTACATATGTACATAAAAAGACGCTAACAAGATCAGCCTCACAGAAAACCGACGTGAAACAACGCTTGCGTTGTGTTTCGTCGTGTGAGTGACGTTACCGGAGGCCCAATTAACTCATCCTTCCCCAATTTTCCGTAATTCCTGAATCCCTAACGATCCTCAAACTCCTATTCCCAAAACGCCGGTAACGCACTTGTAACGCCTCTGGTGTTTCAGGTGTCCATGGACGACGCTGATTGCTTGATCCGTCTACTCGTGTACCGGCTTATGCCATAAAAAATAATATTGTGATAAAGCAATAACTTTCCATTCTATTTTCATAAATAAAAGTAACGTGTGTACATTTGTATGATCATATTCTTTTTGAGAAGTCGATTAATTCGTGACGTATCCATGAGTCACTCTCATGCAGTTTTCAGTGTACAATAATAAAACTTTTGACGTAAAAACATCATTTATAACAGAATGAGAGACTAGTAACTCAGAGAGTCGTCATTCTAGATTATTTATTCAGTCGCATTCGTTAGTCGGTCACCTCGACCCAATTTTTTAAATCATACAATTCTAACGTGAAATGTTGAATTATTTACAGATTAATTTAATAATTTCCTATATATTATGATTATAAAGCACTAAGAACAAAAACAGTTTACAAAAATAATCGTGTTTTTTCCAAGTCTCAATTAAGTTACTTCGGATCGGAGAGTAGTTTTTTTTGTCTCCCCAATAGACCTCATCTTAGTGCAAACTCCTTTTTCAACAAAACGAAAACATTGACCATTTTCAACAATAGACAATTTGGAGAATAGAATCAAATGCAAATTTTAGTTTTTAATTGCTGCTACGAAATTCAAACTGACCTCCTCTGCCTCTCATTAGGCGCTACGAGTACTACAAGAAAAATCCTGCTACGATTTCGTAGTCGTAGCGTAATCGTAGCAATTACACGTAGCGACGTAGCAAATACGAATCTTCAAAAATGTGACAATTTCTTTAACTTTCCATTAGATTCCATATGTTCTGAATTCTAATTAACATGTTCTCCATAGCTAAAACTATTCTAACGAGCTGAATTATATTTCAAGAAGTCATCTCAGAATACTTGGATGCTATACCTACTGACAGAACTAGATGTGCCAGACCAGCCCTTGCGCATTTGTGCGACATGTCCTGTTTACACGTGCAAGTGACAATAGCAAACATGAGTCAACAGGGAAAGAACAATAAACTTGTATACAAAAACAATATGAAGCGCATACATAGCTATATGAAAACTTTCTCCGAATAAAAACAATGGGACATAGACTTTTCATAAACTTTTAATAATAGGTATAAAAAGTTTAAATTCTTTGCATCTTTTTTTAGAACAATTAAACTGGCCACTTCTAGAGCTTTTATTCCATGTTAAGAATATTTAAATGTTTTTGAATCTAAATTCGATTTTACTCACATTATGCCTCGTTCGGTTAGAATCGAATAGAAATTAAAAAAATAATGTGATAATGACCTAAGAATGTCTTATAAGGACACAAATATTGTTGTTATTAAAGCTTTTACAGAAAATATTGGTTCGTCATAACAAACACATCTTTTTATTCGTAAATATCGTAAAATTTTGCTTCTAGAAATGTAATGCAAAAATTAGTTCTACATATTCTCTGACAACGCAATAATTACTTTTCTATTAAGATCTTGATCAATAAAACAAAACAGATTCCTACTTACCGATATTGGCAAGTTTGTCCTCAGATTTGAGCGTGTGAATTTTCGAGAAAGAATCACTCCTAATGCGCCCGCGCACTCGAGAGATCATGCCCATTTTATAAACTTGAAATATTCAACAAATAAATTAAACAACCACTGTTTTATTCACCACGTTAGAAGTTTAAGAAATACTGTTTATTTCACTTTTATTTGAATGAAAAATTATTCGGTCTTTGTTGCCTCCGTATTCTGCGAAGTGTGTCACACGAATGCGCATTTCGCAAGCGGACGCCGGACGCTTGGGCGGGCGGCGCTCGCGCAGACAGATCTCTATCCCTATAGAAACCGACTTCGACGTAAATACAACATTATGTACATACATTGCTTACTACACACACACTGAGATAAAACACTGCAGTAAATGAGCAGCAGTGTATCGTACTTATTTAATTTGCACCACCCGTTCAACTGCACCCACGTCACACTGCAATGACGTTTATTTTTATATTTAATTCTATGTCACTGACTCGTGAATCGGAAATTGTTATGTTTTGATTTCTATATCTGCAATTTTTAATGAAGGAAAATAAACAAAGAAATCGTCGTGTTGGTATCTGAAGATTTTTACCCCTGCGTAGGTTTCATGAAAGGTTACCAGTACATAATAAGTACTATGAACTCTAGAAGAAGGCTACATTTAACAATTGAAATAATTACACTATGTAGGTACTGATAAAGATACATACGATTCATTAAGGAGAATTAATTTACTGAATAAGTTCAAGATATGTTGTAAACGATATGAAACTATGTGTACTTACTAACTTACCTAGATTGTTTCTAACAACTGCAAGTACAGATTTGTATTGTATAGTATTTTTATGGCATAAGCCGGTAACCGAGCAGACGGATCATCTCATGGTAAGCAATCTGCGTCGCCCTTGGACACCTATAGAAGACCAGAGGCGTTACAAGTGCGTTACCAGGCTTTGAGGATTGTTGGGGATTCAGGGATTGGGGAGATTGGGGAAGGAGGGGTAATTGGGCCTCCGGTAACCTCATTCGCGCGACGAAATACAACGCAAGCGTTGCTTCACGTCGGTTATCTGCTCGGCCGTGGTATCACTCCGGTCGAGCCGGCCTATTCGTGCCGAAGCATGGCTCTCCCACACTTAAGTAATGTAGTATATAGGTACTCACCTAAAGGCGAGATGTTTAGAACACTCAATCATCCTTCAGATCGTCTAAGACATTTACATAAACATCTGAAAACCAATCCAATTAGTATCCTAAAACCATTTGATCAAAGTTCTATTTACAAAAATAAATACTGGGTACGTGAAAACCGGCACGATGTTTACATTCATCGGAACTCATGACTGTCCTATTATTTTAAACCCAAACGGATACGTGGGTAGAATATGTAGACTTGCATTTTTGTGATAAATTTAGACAGGCACTCACTGGTTTCTTAGAATATTTTAGTAACGATTGATAATAATATTAGGTAGTTCGTAATGGTTAAGATGTTTGTTACTTATTGGGAATTTTAGCACGTGATTTCATTGAGTATTTTATTTCTGTATAAGCATCTTTTTTTATGGGGGGAAAATCATCGAATGACTGCTCCCGCCTGGGCGAGGCGGGAGAGAGTGTCAGACTCTTACTGACTAAAAACCACCCCGTTCCTTCTCCTGCACGTCGAGCCGGAGCCCCGGTAACCCGTTAGGTTCTCCGCGACTGTATAAGCATCTAAGAGCCAATTTTACAATGCTCAGATAAATTTTAAATGAGGAATAACTTTGAATATTTGACAATTCTTCGGTACTAAAAACTGTCAACTATTAATTCTATTCTATAGTTAAAAATTAATTGATGATTAAAAAATCGGCCCTTATAGTATCTCTAAATGGCACTCAGCTATATTTATTAATGGGCCACTAAATATCAAACAGTCTATAATTCTACTTCTTCTAGATTAAACTAAAGAGGAACTAAGACTATCAGGAAGACTACAACGATACCAATAATAAATATAGTTATTATATCTATTTTGTCCGCATCGACTGCCTCGTTGGCCGAGTAGTCATAAGACTGCCTGGTCAGGGGTCTCGGGATCGATTCCCGGGTCAGGCAAAGTATTACTGGATTCGGTATGTGGTAATTGGTTCACTCCCTATTATATGGGACTCATAACATAAATAGTGAAAAGTGGGTGTTACATTGTAGTGTGGCATTAAGTGCCGTAATGTGCACCTTTGAAGGTGATGGATGGAGCCTTGGGCCACTTCGAGCTTCTTGAGGTCATCCGTTTATCGGATATATCCGTTTCTTCTGATGAGTGACATATGATAAAAAGTGTGAATTTTAGTATTTAGGTATATTTATTTTATTTAACTGTTTATACTGTTGTGCAGGACAGAATGAGAGAACAAATATAGATACTTTATCACCAACTAACGATATACTCTAATAATTATTTACCCTTTTATCATATTAATCTCAATTAAAAAACCATTAAAATGGAATTATTCCTACGACTTACCTAATCAATAGATGAAAATTAATTACTAAATGTTCTTCGTTAAATATTACTTATTACATCTCATTAGAGAAAAAGAAAAGTTTATATGAATATACTAGCGTTTTTACCCGTGGCTCCGCTCGCGTCACAAAAGGATAAAAAGTAGCCTATGTGACATATACCAATACACACAGCGCCATCTATACCAATACTTTTGTTTTCCGAGATAAAAAGTACCCTATTATTTAATCCGGACTTCTAACTTTACGTCTACAAAAATTCAAAGCAATCGGTTTATTAGTTACGGCGTTAAAGCGGAACAAACAAACAAACAAACTCACTTTCCGATTTATAATATTAGTAAGGATAAGGATGTAGCTAACTCAAAAAACTTAGCAGCGGTTCGGCATTTGAACGTCGACTCTCTGAGATATAATATTGTAGTCTTTGGTCGACTCTTTATACAGAAACTGCATAATTTGTTCAACAAGACAAGGTAGGTACCTTGTGTTTAGGTAAGCTGTGTCTAGGTACTTACTCTACCTTACAGTGGTGATTTATATAATAGGGATTGTATATTCAGATATTAGGAGACGCCTGCTTAGGCTGAACGTGTACTGGGTACCCATTTACGTATCATTATTTTCAACATTACCTCTACACTCCTCTACATCAGTACCGTCTTTACCATAAGGGCACTCAAGGCCCGTGCCCAGGGCCCTACCCTCAAGGGGCCTTGAAAGACCAACAATTTCTTCAACGGACCACACCCGCTACACAACGGCAACCGGCTGCCTTTGAACGTGAAGCGGATCCGATTCCCGCACGGAGCATATCTTTGTGCTGTTTCGGATTTGGGTGTCATATTGTGTATGTGAACTTGTATGTTTGTAAATGCATCCACGATACAGGAGAAAATCTTAGTGTAGGGCAACGTTAAAAAAAGAAACATTTCAAAAGGGCCCCGAATATTGTTTGCCCAAGGGTTCCAGCGTAATCTGAGACGGCTCTGCTCTATATATGTAGGTATTGTTATAATATGCACACGTAGTATTTTGGCGGGTTGAATTGAAGATAGCTGTTTAAAGAGTTTAAGTTTATCAGAGAGTGTTACTTCGGTACTATCCGGTTGTTAAATGTGCTGTAGTTCCAAAATTGGTAGTAGAGCAGGGCCGCAGCACAGCAGGTCACGAATGCCGTCACCACTAGCACAATACATTATTGTGATACATTAAACCAGTTCACTGGAAAGAGAGAAAACATCGTGAGGAAACCTGGGCTTATAATTTCTAATTATAATTGAGCAAGCGTGGTGATTAATGGTCAAACCTTCTCTGTGTGAGAAGAGGCTTTGCTCAGCAGTGGGCATTCATTAACACGCTTTTTTTTGTTTTACAGAACTCTTCAACATGCAGTCTTTGGTGTATCTGATGCTCGTTGCCTTCAGCTCCTGCCAGGCGCACTACAGAGGTTCATATGACTCCCGAAACTTCATCACCAGAGAAGAACCAACGCCTAAAGGGTAATGAACCTACTTAATATAAGTTATCGTCACACTGATGGAACATTTAGGTCAATATTGTAGGCTATTGAATAGTTGAAAATACCATTTTAAAAACTTTGAATTCTGGCGCGTGGTATTTTATCCCCAAGCGGTCACCGGTGGCCGCTCTCCACTTTAGATCCATATTATAGACCTTATTTCCGATGTTTAGAGACTAATTTTGTATAAACAAATTTAGGGGATGATTTTCAACAGGTTAACTCGTCGAGTACCGGTTTTATAGACACAATTAAAGAACAATAGGTCGCGGTCACCGGTGACCGCTTGGTGTTTGACAGTTTAACTAAGAGTAAAAATATTTATTCAAAAGCATTTAATTTAAATTTTAAATAAAATAATCAATAAATTTCAAAGTTTGTTTCAAATTCACTATTAAAACAACTCAACTAATATATTTCTTACTTTTAGTAGAAAGTTCTTATGGCAATAGAATTTACATGTGTTATTATTAAATAAATAACACGATTCTGACTGTCGCGTTATTTTTTATCAATATGTTTATTGTCTTCTGATAATAAGAAGTACCTAGGTGCGAGGTATCATTTTCGATAAGTTCAATAAATATTCCATCAGTAAATGATTTAAAAAATCCCCATGTAATAAGTAGGTAAATGTCTTGCCATGCTAAAAAATGGTATATTTTTTTAATAAAACTTTATTTATTCTATGGCACTTTTATTCGTAATTTTAAAGTAACCATCTTATTTTTAATGCAGTGTGCTGATCGAATGTCCGGTGTGCGATCAGACTGATCACTGGATGGCCAGCACTGAAGATTGTCCCATCAGAAACGGCAGCAAGACCTTCAAGATTTGCAAGTTTGGAACATACATCAACGAAGTTTGTGGAAAGCGAGTTGACTGTTACAGCGTATGTTTTATTGTCTAACTAACTTTCGTTTTTGCTTTTGTTTACCTCCATTTTAAATGTTTTCATACAAAAATATTCCTATTTTATTCATATTCATTCATACAGTCCTTTTAATGCTAAGAGGTCAATGAATGTTTGTTAAGTTGAGCATATAAATTTTTCAGAGATACTGTAATTAGACTTTAGAGTGTATGGTAAGTATACTTAATTGTTTTTTTTTTATATTTGTCCAGGGCCCTGGTGAACAATGCACTGAAAAGCGCGAATTCGATATGTACGGCAAGAAGTGCGCCCCCGGTTATTATTGCAACAAAATGGAAGGCGTCTGCACTGGACTCGAGTTCCAACTTGGTAACAACTGGCAGTGGAAGATGTACCCCTACACCGGAGTCCGCAGCGAACTCAGAAACCAACCTGAAGACTCCAAATTCTCCTTCGAAGGAGTCCGCAACTAACTCCTGAATTCCAAGCCCAACTACCACGGGACCATCCTAACTTGACCTCCCTGATCTCATCCCTAGTCATATTTTTAAGTATACGCTTATAATTTGTAATCAACATTCCTTATAGTGATCTCAATTTTGTTGTTCCTACATTTTTGTACGAAAGATTCCTGAATATACATAATTATTTTGTAAAAGCATTACTGAAGTTTTATTACACGTTTGTCTAATTTGAGAATCAAAGTCGCTTCGCTCCTATAATAGGTACTTATTAACATACATAACATAACATAACATCACGTCTTTTATCCACGAAGGATTAGGCAGAGGTGCAGATTACAGCACTGAGTGTAAATTTCATCCCGGTCCCTTTAGCCGTTTTGTCTTTGGATGTGACTGAGTAACAAACATAGACACAAACTCGCATATTTTCACATTTATAATACCGGTTCAAGCTAATTTCAACCATCGGCCCTACAGTTACAGCGTAAAGTCCACTGCGGGCAACCTAACATTCGACAAACTTATATTTGCGTTTCGTACTTTTGTTGTTTTATCGTGTATATACTTTTCGGTATAAAAAGTACCCAGTAAGCGGACCAGTAGTTTTTATGTGATATATGTACATACAGACATACAAAAATTTTTTTAATCACATTTTTGTGTTCATGATCTATCTAGTAACACCACATAATATTTATTTTTTAATATTTTCAATATACAACATTTACACTTCTATAGTCTTAGTATCGATAAATTTTTAAGAAGCGGTCATACTATTCACATTTAACTAACTCTATCTAAGTAGATACCTAAAATTTGACTTATGACTAATCTAATCTATTTTGGAATGCAAGTAGCATAATTTATTATTATAATCACTGATCCATTGACCAGATTATGAGTAGTTTTGGTAATTCCCCGTCAACATTAAATAGAGGTTTGAGGTGTTGGCGTTTGTAAAAAACAAAACTGTTAAAAAATATTACATTGGTACCAATTTTTTATTGGACGTATATAAAAAGAAATGTATTCATTGAAATAGCAGTAGGCTAGAGTTACTTTAGTTACTTAAATAGAGGTTTAAATTGTACCAATACATATTTGATTAATAAAAACAAATAAAATGAAATGGACTCTACTTTACTCGACTGGTTTCGGTGCAACATTTAGTGGAATTAATTCCTGCACGTAATAAAATGTTAGAGTTTTAATGATTAGTTGAACCATCCAGAGAGAACTTATGAATATTATTATGTTTAGACAATTTTATTAACCACTTCTACCATAATTTTGTAAGTTTTATAAAGGGCAACATCGAAAGGGCTCGCGTAACCATTGGCAAATAGCAACCCCGCTCGCTTTCAGCATTTTTATTGGTTGTTGACGTTTCGTTTGTTTGGGTTCGGCCGGCCGGTCGGTGGGTGATTCTTTCTTTCGTGATCCATTATTTGTTGTGGTTCGGCTGCGCTCGTGAGAGACATGTCATGCCACTCAGCTCGGCAGTAAACCTTAATCGCAGTTCGTTGACTATTTAATTTGTGTTATTTTAATTTAAATTAGTTTGAAGAGTGTCGTTTATCGATTTTTTAATTACTAGTGCCTTCATACAGTGTATAAACTCGAAGAAGTTCTCTTTCTTTCTAAGAAGTCCCGAAAAGGTTGAATATTTTTGAAAATGCATCTTTCTGTAGATACAATGTTGGGTAAAAAGCCTGATAAATGTAAAGTGTGTATGCTTCGGAATGTAAAACCGGATCATTTTGAATCCGAAAAACACAAGCAGAATTGTTGTTTGAGGAAATATACAGCAAATAAGTAAGTGGTATTTTTTTTTGTGAATTAAAATCAATTTTTGCGTCCAAAATTATTTCTTCATTACAAAAATGTTTTTTTTATCTGTTTTAGATAATAAGAAGATTTAACATAATAATATTTATTAACTTTATTTTTTATTACTAATACTAATTATAAGCTAAAATAAATGGTATTCAAAAGAATTTGCTGAACAATTTAATATTTATCATTATTTCTTTTTCAAGTTTTAACAACTTTAATTTTATGATTATTTTTTTATTGACATTATAATAATTAACTATAAGATAATATTTTATTTAGCTATTAACTATGGTATAATACTTTGTCTACAGGTCACATTTTACTGCAAACCGTGTAAAAGTAGCTTCATTATATTGTGAAGTCACCTCATCTACTGCCTCTACCAACAGTAGTGAAGGAAAAATTAAGATTTCTGTAAGTAACATAGATAAGATAATTATAGACACAACTCTTTACAAAATTGTATATTTGTATACTGCCAGTTATTTTTTATAGACTATGGAAATAATTGTTTAATGTTTTTTTTTAGGTAAAACCTGATGAGACAGTTGAATTTAAATTTACTCTCTCTAATGATAGTAAACTGAATAATCTAGAAGTGATAGCAGTAGACTTGATACATTCGGAACTTCATTTTGAGATACCCAACAACCCGTACAAGCCTGGGAATCAACCTCACACTATTCCACCGAGTAAGTTATTTGAACATACCTATTTTTTTTTTTGCAAATCGTTAGTTATGGACAGTAGATAAAATATAAATTAAGTTTTAGTTGCAAAGTACCTAGCTTTGGCAAGAAACAGTAACTCTACAAAAAAATATAAAGTACCCGTCAGTAAAGTGGCTGCTAGGAGAAAATCTGCTGATGGCAAATCCGTGGAGGATTACGTCGTCACTGCTAACATTGTGGTCCTTTACGTGTTAATTTTTTACAATTTTAATTGCACTTACCTGACACAAATAAACACTATGCCTTGTCATTCCAAGGGATTAAAAAAGACTACCCAGTACAAAATGGTGTACTGGTATTTTATGAGTACAACAGATCATTGTTTATCCCGCAGAGCCGTATTATGCCTGTGCAACTGGTTAAGTGCCTAGGTTAGGCGCCAAGTTACGTAGTTCGGAGCTCTGCGAGACGCGTACGCCAAGAGTGGCGACGGCGCTAAAAAATTAGGCCCGTCTATGAGCAACTTGCCAAGGGCGCCCTCGAGGTTTAATCCACCTCTGCTATCCCTCCCAATTACTAGAGAAAGAGGTATAAAGCCTGACATTGTTTTAATTTTCTAGGAAGCAAGCTGCATGAAAAAGTTGTGGTCAGTTTCAAAGCACCACACATTGGACAGTATGAAACTCCAATCCTTTTCAAATTGAAGCAGAAAGACGTTAGTAACGAGACCATTGTTTTAATGAGAGATATGGTAAGTGACATTAAAAATTAAATAAATGTAATTAGTACATGCAATTACCTAATTTAAGTGCTTGTTGCGACCATTTATATTCAGATAACTTATCTTTAAGACAAAGCTCTACTTAAATATAATTAAATAAAAATATCGGAAATTCGTAATACATTTTTACAAGTAATTAAAATAAAATAGATGTAATATGTAAGAGTCCCTACAAGTACTGATTGGGGAAAAGTCTCTTCGAATATAGTGAAGAAATGAGCATTTATTCACTGCTTGCTCTGAGTGGGTCGACCATTTCAAACTTCGAAGTTTCATGGAATGCCAACAATGTCCAAATAATCTTAGAAAATACCTACATAATATAACTCGGTTAAAAGACGTAAAAGTTGTATTATAACTTTTTAAATTCAAATTCAAATCGTTTATTGCGAATATAGGTCAAGTGTAGATGTTACAGTAGTTATTATAAAGTACTAACTTTCGTGAGACATACTAAATCAATTATTGTATTTTCGGCTTACTCACGTAATTATTTGAGGAGGAAGTCGACTAGTTTCAAGCCATGCTAAAGGCTCATATTGATATTCACGAGCTGCATTCTGCGACCCGCGGCACGCCGATGATCGCGCTGCTACTCCAGTAGTCAAAAAATTACGCGAGTAAGCCGAAAACAAAATACCTAATTGACGTCGGTAAAAGTTGGTCAAAAGTGCTCAATGCAATTTTTTTCTTATTCTGCAGTCAAGCGACTTGTTCTGAGGCCTTAGTACGAGTTTGTTTTACGTTTAAAGTATTCGAAACGAGTACGCGTTCGGCACTCTGATTGGCCGGAGCCAATAAACCAACCAATCAGTGCGCCGAACGCGTACTCGTTACGAATACTTTAAAAGTAAAACAAACTCGTATACTAAGGCCTCTGGATTTATGGTCTAGTACTTACGTAATTGTGCATCATTCGTCCAAGTACTCGATTTCCGGGAGGGTTACAAACGCTACTTGACTTTCTAACAAAGAATGACAGATGTTAAAGAGCACTGCCGATCTCGGGAGGGTCATTGGTACTTGTGAACAGAATAAGTCCTGTAATATGACCGTATTATGTACATTACTGAATCACTTCTGAGATGACATAGCTACGCTTCAGGTTTCCGTACACGTTGTGTTTATCTTCGGTCAGATTTTATCTATTAAACTACCTAAATGAAATCTGATCTGATGCGTGCCTAAGCAATGTTTAAATCTACTATTACCTTGCTCGCAGTTAGCTCTATTTTAGATAGACAAAAGTACAAGAGCTTGACTGCACTGAAAATGATATGCAAATTTCTCCAGCGTTATTATTTCAGAATACCTACCAAGATTTCTAACAGATACATGCACTGCTAGTAGCAAGTTGTATGAAAGCCCTATTCACCCAAATAACACGAGCATTGCACGAATTAAATAATTGTTACTGTAAGTATAATCAGCGCGGTCGATCGCAAAAAATATAATGGTCGGTTTTACTACGTAAAAAATATGAAACTTTCGCGTCTTTTATGCACACAGCAACGCAGTCACCCTCATTTAAAATTGAGTCCTAAAAGCTGACCCTTTGTCTGGCTCGTTTTACAGACCATTATTGGCCTATTCATTGATTTGACCATGTGCTGCGAACTTTTCAAATTAAGCCGTGCGTCATTCAAAGTGATTTGAGTAATATGACAAAGGACTGAAAGTCCAAAATGCAAACACTATAGGGTTAATCCGTAGTTTTATTATGTGCTATGGACTTTGTCACCAGTTTTATATTAAAAGTACTTATTCAAGTATCATGTATTCATTCTAATATCGTGAGGTCATTATTAAGGCGTTTAACTCATAATACCTAGACCCTGCTTACCTATATTATGTTACCTGAATATACTATTTGTAAATTAATCTCTACATTCTTGCTTTACTTTTATTCAGGACAAAAGCAACTTATAAATAGAAGCTCTATTGTCTAGCGTTCGCTAATGCGTCAAAGGAAAGCTCTTGTATCGATTAGATACGACTTCTTTAAATATTCATAGGTTGCAACTGCCTTGTAGGTCGTTACTTGAATGTCTATGTTTTAACTGAATTTCAAGGCCCAGTAGCATCTACTGCAGTTTTGTAATAAAGACAAAAGGGTAGTAATAAAAACTCCGACAAGAAAAGTAGAATTGTCCTTACTGAAAATATTAAATCTACTGCCTAAAGTACTAACTTTCCGACTACTTTACATGACTGTTTATTGCTACAATACTAACGAACGTAACCTAACCTAAAATGTCTGTTGTCGGTAACTTAGTAATTTTGTCAGAGGTTGAATATTCTATTCGGAAGTTTAGTTTTGTTATTCGAAGATCCATTTTTATAGTCGGCCACAGATCGCTGGAGATTAATTTGTTTTTCGGATCCATTATTATTTTCCAAGATAAAACCATTAGAGAATACGAGTTTCGCACTGTAAAGCACAAACCATGAAGCAATTACAAAGACAGAAACCCATTATTGATGTTATTTTCTTGACTTGGCTTGACTTTATGTGCAAGTCACATTGACTACACCTAGGTAGAGGCTAAACTTATCCACAAGAAGTCAAACCTTAAAAACGTTCTTCCAACACATTTGTTAAAAGTCTGTAAAATAATACAGTTAGGTACTATTTCCATTGTTCCTAGCAGGTACTTACGAAATGAGATATATAAGTTTAGTCCCTTCTATTTGTTCGTTGACTGGCTAAGCGGCTTCTCGGAATATGCCGATAAATAAACAATAGGTGCTTATTGCTACCCGTGCTTATTATCATTATTTCATCCGAGGTTTGACCTTGTATTTTTAACAGGAACTATTTAAAACATGAATTTAAAGAGTTTCTTAGAGGCTAGCCTATTCAAGGAGTTATGTAATAATCTTCACAGCTCACATACATAAATGATATTTCTATTACGCCCATGTAATATCTGTGATATTTCCTTATAGTAAACAACGGAATATTCATAAATAAATAGCACATGCCCTTTTTGCCGACGTCCTTTTTCCATGTGATAACCATCCGATCGACCACCGGACGCGATTATTGACTTTTACAACTATTTATATAGCAAACAAAATAGTATAAACACAATGCCATGGTTTTTTTCTATCTACTGGCTGACTTTCACGTGTGCGCGACATCCGCGTAACCGGGATAAAAAATATCCTATGCGCCTGCGCCACTCTAGCCCAGTTCCACAACTATACCAATGGAAGTTTGTAGCAAATTTATCGAAGCTGAGGCCTATCAAATACTTGTACCTAAATGTAGATATGAACCTCTGAACGGGGACTCCTTCCAGCTGGGGCTCGCATGTTATTATGCCGACCTGTAGTAGCAATAATAGTAGGATGATAGTTACAAAATACAGAAAAGAAACAGGCTCGTAAGGATTAAATACAAGTACATCGGACATTGGTATCCGTACAGGAAATTATGCTTTTACACGCGTATAGTTTTCGGGCTTCAAAAATTGGTCGTAGTCGTAAAGAATCTGTTTCATACTTGTAGAATTTTTTGATAAGAACATAATTATAAATGAATGAACGTTCATTGTGCCTTTGTGACCGCGCCTACATAACTCTAATGTTATCTTTTAAACAGGACACAAACAAAGCGCCTTTGTCAATAAAAAATAATTTTTACCAGTACTACCTTAGAGTATTTGACCAAAAACTACAGATTTCGTTGTTTCTTGCCTTATTATGGTGAACAAAAACTTGAACGAATATTGCTTTTGTTTTTTGGGGAGTGGGAACGGGGGGGGGGGGGGCGTCAGGTAATACGACCCTGTAATTGAATTTTCGCTCGTGTAATTTTAAGTAGACAATCCCCTCTCCTACCAAAGAGGAATGCTTTTACTCAACAGTGGACATATTTCAAGTTCAACTGATGATGGTTTTTTCCATGTCCGATCATCCGGTTGTTTCTAATAATGCCCTAAGACCGATACATAGGACTTTGTTTACCTTTTTAACACTACGCCTTCTATAACTTTTAGCAGAATAAGTAAATGTAGGCGGGGCACCTCGGGTCATCAACTATAATAAATTATAAACCTGAATTTTCCTTAAAGGTTCTGTTGCGCATGCTCCAGTATAGTATGGTAAAAGACGTTCTATTGAACATGCTCAAAAATTAGAATGCCAATTTTGAGGACCAACATTCCAACACATACTACTAAATAACAGAAGCTTAATTGAAGCATGCTTTCGTACTTCAAATTTGCATGTTTTTTTTATGGGGACAAATCATCGAATGGCGTCTCCCGCCTGGGTGAGGCGGGAAAGAGTGTCAGACTCTTATTGACTAAAAACCACCCCGTTCCTACTCCTGCACTTCGAGCCGGAGCCCCGGTAACCCGTTACGTTCTCCGCGGCTCCGTATCGACATCAGCCCTATTGGGCCCCATCCGTGGTGGTCTGATGGCTAATTTAGCATGTGTAACACTACATTTAGATAGTTATTCTGTGCATTAGATATCAATTCTAGTAAAGTTAATGTTGTTAATATTCCCAGTTACACTTACAATTCTTAGAATGAGGAGGCAGTCAATTATTGGTTCGTTTAATCAATGAACGGTTCACTGGTCAAGTGGCCACTGCAGGCACCTACATTTTGTATCGAGCAAAATATCTATACTTAAAGGACTGACAAACAGTATCATTATTATTGTCTTCACTTTCAAAAGTGCATGTTTCTTGTTTAGGTACTATATGTTTTATAGGTACTCGTGCATGTTTAAAAACTTTCAGGCGTAGGTATAATTTGAGTAAGTAACTAGATTCCGTGACGACTTCGATTTCGATTCATAAGTAATGAATTATTGAGAACCTGCTACCTATTTTGTAACTGTGAATTCGAACTTTGGAAGTGAGGTCGATCGCATTCTCGCAGATCATCGATCGCATTCTCGCTGGTCGAGATTATTCTAAAAACCAATAACGAATTCACTTCGATTTTTCGAATTGAAAGTTATAGAATAGCTTAACTGCTGTGGCTGCTTCACATTGCCTGGATACTTGTTAGGTATGGACCAGGATTTTTTAAATTAAGAACGTTTTTTTTATAAACTGTCTGTTACATAAAATGTATATGAACTTGTTTGTTTGTAAACGCACTCACGACACAGGAGTACGTTTAAAAAAGTTTATCCTGTATTTATATGAAAGTGGTGGTACATTAATTGTAGCCCCAGTGCGGCGTAAGGGCCACTGACACCCCGGCCGAACATATTGTGGCGCCCACTAGAGGGAAGCAATTTCAATTAGTTCTGAGGGTTTGCCACAGGAGAGGCAAGAAACTCCAAATTCAGACTTTAGCGCCCCCCAGAATTTGTCGCCCTGGGCCATCGCCCCATCACGCCCCTCCTAACGCCGGCACTGTGTAGCCCTACTCTTCCTGCGTGCCTTCCTTTTATGCGAGCTTGCAGCGTGGATGGATATGTCAAACTCCTCTTTTGTTGAGAACACCGATAGTCCAGCTGTTACTGACTCACGTGTTATTGACTTACAATCAGCTGCTTCGACTCGCATATATACAAAACGTGTTTGTAAACATACCTAGGTTAGAAAAAACAAAATAGACCGTTTTTGCTCTATTGAGCAACACTTACCCCAATTTTTTCCTATTCAATCTCAGCGCAGGTACCTACGACTACGATTAGTTGTTCGGGTACTTTTTATTATTAGTTTGTAAATAAAGCAATGCGTTCTTTGGTTACAGGTGGTTTATGTGGAGGAGACTGTGTCGCTCCATGACAAGATTATAAGCCCTTATGAAAAAAAACCGGTATGGGCAAAACAATTGCTCAGGTCTCCTCACAAAGAGTAAGTATTGCCTTATTTTGTGTACCAAATCACTATTATGAGACATACTAAATTAAACTGTCAAACACCAAGCGGTCACCGGTGACCGCAACCTATTGGTCTTTAATTGTGTCTATAAATACGATACTCGACGAGTTAATTAAAGATGTAAAATTAACACAGGGTATCTTAGAAATAGGTGAGCCCCGGTGTGACTGGAAAATAGTAGAGCATTTCTCGCATTGTTCACAATGTTTGCATAGGCGCTATGTACCAAGTAGAATTAAGAATGTAAATTATTAGCAAATTATGTCCGTCTGGCAACACAGGAGAACTCGTTACGCGCTTGGGAACAACTTCTCACCTTCCCTTACCAAATCTTACACGTCAAAAAGAATTTGGCTCTTCAAAATTCTTTAACCAAACAAATTAAAGAAAATTGCATTTCGGCTTCCCAATTCGACCCAAAATTACCGGCTTGCAGCTATGCCTCAACCAAAACTTTAGCGGATTTAGTTGAGGCCAAAATAGGTGAAGGTGATATCAGCGGTGCAGCCAGGATTATTTTCAGCAACGACGTACTGGCCCCATGTTCTCCAGATACGCTTAAAGCTCTGGAGAGCAAACACCCGGCCCCAGTAGATGGTCTCTCTTTTCCGGATCCTCCAGAAGCAGATATTCATACCCTATCTGTTACAGGTCGACAAGTGGTCACTGCCATAGGCTCCTTCCGGACCGGTTCTGCCGGAGGCCTCGACGGTTTGACGCCGCAGCATCTCAAAGATCTGACGAGCTCAAGCGCCGGGGAGTCCGGCGTGACGCTGCTGAAGGAGCTTACGGCTTTGGTCAATCTTATGCTCTCCGGCAATGTGCACGAATCTGTCATCGACGTTTTGTACGGGGCCAATTTATGTGCCCTTCGCAAGAAGGATGGCGGTATTCGTCCCATTGCTGTGGGAACAACTTATCGTCGCATGGCAGCCAAGATTTGTTGCAAATTTTATAATAATCACCTTTCGGAAAAATTCCAGCCCCTTCAACTCGGGTATGGATCGAGAGGGGGCTGCGAGGCTGCCGTGCATGCGTTGTCGACCTATCTGAATTCTAGGAAAGGTGATATCATCCTGAAGGTTGACATAAAGAATGCCTTTAATTCGGTCAATAGGGATACTATGTTGACAGAAGTTAAAAAAGAAGTACCCCAAATTTTCAGTTTTCTCTGGCAATGTTATAGACATCCTACCAAATTATTATATCAGGGCAACCTTTTGGAATCAGCCGTTGGCTGTCAACAAGGCGATCCCCTTGGACCAGTGATTTTTAGCCTGGCTATTAATCCTATTATTCGACAGCTAAATTCCAAATTTAATGTTTGGTACCTCGATGACGGTACCCTGGGAGGCGATGCCGATACAGTATTAAATGACTTCATATTATTAAAAAACGAACTTCATGCTATTGGCCTTGACCTAAATTTTTCCAAATGTGAGATATTTTTAGATGACTCTACCGACAGACAGACCATAACAAAATTTAATACTTTTGCGCCCAATATCTCGGTGGTTGATAAGTGTTCACTTCGCCTCCTAGGTGCGCCCGTCTTCGAGGACTCTTTTCCAAGTTTTATTGAAGAAAAAATTCAAAATTTTTCTGTCGTTTCAGAAAAACTATATAACATTAGAATGCATTCGGCTTATACTATTATTCGGTTTTGTTGCTTTGGTCCCAAATTTATGTACTTTTTGCGGTCGACCCACCTGTGGTCTGCACCCTTCTTTTAGAAAAAATTGACCAAATTATTAGGCGAACCCTGTCCTTAATTTTGAATGTGGCTCTTGATGACCGAGCTTGGACACAAGCCACTCTGCCTGTCCGCATGGGTGGGCTTGGCGTCCGTAAAATTTCCAGTGTAAGCCTACCGGCTTTCATATCTTCCGCCCATGGTACTAAAGAATTAACCAGGAAAATTCTTTCTCAATCACTGGTTAATTTTGATGTACCATATTTAGTGGAAGCTGTGAATGCTTGGAAAATCGCTTGCCCAAATATTGACCCCCCTGTCAAATCACTCTCCCAGAGACAATGGGACGAGCCGCTCTGCAGAAAAGTGAGCGAAAATCTTTTGAACTCCTCTTGTTCAACTGCAGAGAGAGCTCGCCTTTTGGCTGTGGGTGAGTGGGAGTCGGGGTTATGGCTTCTTGCTTTACCTTCGTCTAACCTAGGTACTTTGTTGGACGACACCACGTTCCGCGCTGCAATTTGTTTAAGGCTTGGAGCTTCATTTTGTTCACCTCATCGTTGTCGTTGTGGTGAAGTTGTCAACAGCCTTGGACACCACGGCTTGTCATGTAGCCGTAGTGCGGGCCGTTTTGCTCGACACGCAAGTATTAATGACATAATTCGTCGAGCTCTTGCCTCCGTTGGCGTGCCAGCTACTTTAGAACCTAATGGCTTGGTACGCGACGATGGCAAGAGACCCGACGGTATGTCATTATTCCCTTGGAAGATGGGTAGGGCTTTAGTATGGGACGCCACTTGCGTTGATACTCTGGCGCCATCCCATCTTCCAAGCTCAGCGTGTCGAGCCGGTGCTGCCGCTGCCGCTGCCGAGAACCTCAAACGGCGAAAGTATAATAGCCTGATTGGCAATTATGCTTTCGAACCGTTTGGGGTTGAAACTTTAGGGCCGTGGGGCCCAAGTGCACATCTTCTTTACAAAGATATTGTAAGGAGGATGGTTGACACTTCAGGTGATCGAAGGGCTGGCTACTACCTTGGGCAAAGGTTAAGCATTGCCATTCAACGTGGCAATGCTGCCAGTCTTTTGGGCACCCTACCTCACGGTAGCGATGAGGAAAATATTTTCTTTGATGCCTTATAATTTTTTTTTTCATTATTATTATTTTTTCATTAGGTATTATTATTTTTTCATTATTATTATTTTTTAAGGTGTAAATATTTTAGTCTTAATTATACTAATAAACAATTATCATTAAAAAAAAAGAATGTAAATTAGTATGATCTGTTGCCACATGTACTTATATGAAGGTGGTGAACCAGGTGCTTATGCAACGCACATTGGTACTATAATACTGCCTAACCCTTTTGGGAATACTAATGACTATGTATGTACCTCTAATATTCATCATCATCAACAGCCTATAAATGCCCACTGCTGAGCAAAGCCTCTTCTCACACGGAGAAGGTTAGAGCATTAATCACCACGCTTGCTCAATGCGGGTTGGCGATTTCAAACTTATAATTAGAAATTATAAGTCCAGGTTTCCTCACGATGTTTTTCCTTCACCGTTTGTCAGTGGTGCCTAAATAATCTTAGAAAGTACATATAACTCGGAAAAAGTCACATTGGTACTTGCCGTTGGTAGGTTTCGAACCCGCACCCTCATGCATGAGAAGTCCACCACGACTATTTATTTTTTTATTTTTTTTTTATTTATTTATTTACCTCTAATATTAATAAATAATTTATTTCCAGGGACTCGGACGAAATGTTTCCAATACCAAAAAGTTACAAGCCAATCTTTGCAAATAATTTGCAACCTGTTGGCAAAGCTACTGAGCTTCAAAAAGAATTGGCGGCTGACATCAGGTTAGTGTAGAACTGACTTTTTCATGTGGTAGGAAAATGTCTGAAAAGGAACGACACTGCCTTTGGACACCCGCATCACCAGAAGCCTAACCTAAGATAATTTTGGGCCTCCCCGATAGCTTCACTCATATGGTAAAACATAACGCAAAAGTGTTGTTTCACGTCGTTTACCCGTGAGCCTGTAGTACCACTCCTATTTAATATTAAGCCCATTCGTGCAGTAACATGGCTCTCCCACAATATTTTTTCTTCTTCTGGAAATGTACCCGATATATGGCAATAGGCTCACCCCCTATTACATAGGACTTATATCATAAATAGTGAATAGTGGGTATTACATTGCACACTGGCATTAAGTGCCGTAATGTGCACCTCTGCCTATCCCTCCGGGGGTAAAAGGCGTGATGTTATGTTCTTCTGATAATTTGACACGTCTATTGTTACTTTAAGGCTGAAAATCGCCCGAGCGTACGGCGCGTCGCATTCCGTGCGCGCCTCAAAGAGCCATCCGACCACAGATAGGGCCCAATAGGGCTGCTGCCTATACAGAGCCATCCATAAATTGGGTAGTTTCCAGGGTATCAAAATTAAAAATGTAATTAGTCCGTCAGTTAGATAATGAAAAAATATTAGACACGTATTTTTTTATATTCTCGTATTAAGTTGCAATACTTAGATAAAATGGCGCTAAGTTTAGGAGTGGGAGGTCGTTACGTCGTAACGTGCTACAAAATGTGACACGCTGTGACGTCACACGATATTTCAAATTTATATATCGTCGAAAGTATTTAATTTTGTAAGAAAAGAAAAAATACGTGTCTAAAGTTTTAAATTAATGTACCAGACGGACATTTAAATAAAATTTAGGAATCTACCCTATTGTTTTCCATCTTTATTTGGATACAATCAAATCCAAGAACCCATTGCTCGTCAGTAGCACTTGCGACCAGTCGATAGCAGTCTGTCAACGTCTTCTATGACACCCAATCTTATTGTTATATGTTATTCCAGGAAAACACTCGACGTGGGTATCACCAAGGAGAATTATGTAAAGTTCTTCCATAACTTGCTTTGGTATGAAGAGACCATCATCAGAGTTAATATTAAGGTAAGAAACTGAAAACGCGAGACAAGATTCATCTAATTTGAAAATAAATAGGATTAAAGGCTACTACAAAAAATTCTTGCCTATTGCCCATACATAGTCCGATGTGCAGACAACAATCAGCTTACATTACACATTAATCTTCTCCAATCTTATCTATCTAACAGATTTTCAACTTTATTACTATAACAATAAGGTTCATATCCACAGGTCGAAATAAGTTGAGTTTGCTAATGAACTTGTATTTTCCACAGAACTATAATATGTCGGGGGTCACCATGAAAATCCAGGCAACCCCGAACCATGGTATTGTCTATGCTCTAACTATACCGGGGCTTAGCGAAAAGAGACCTTCTTTAATGATGGGTAAGTTCAAATTCGTTTGCATTTAAATATCAACACCATATTCGTAGAAAAATGTAAATATTATATCCGATTCTCTTCCAAAGTCAAAGGATTACAGAAATCATGGAATCGCAAAATCGTTCGGTATTTAGACAACAAATAAACTTGCTTGCCTTTAATTTTGACTGCTTCGTCGGTAACTACCGAGCAAGATTCTGATTTAATTCCCGGGCCTGGAACTGTTCTTATGCTTAATTAATTAAATATAATATTTGTTTGTAGGCGACTTATTATTCTTGAGGCACCATAACCAAAGTGACGTGATGTTTGAGGCGATCGTTAAAGAGGTCACTGAGAACGTAGCATATATTGGAGGGATGCATGCCAAGTAAGTACTATTTTGTAGACATTCAATAACACTATAATAATATATTTTTCAAAGGAGGATGTTTTTGTCCTCTTTTATTAGTTTCCTCGGCGAAAAATATACTGTTTCGACTTTTCAATACAATAAAATATGGAAAAATTCACATTTTCGTTAATCGATTTGACGATTTGGGTAATTTTCTTAGTTTGCTTCCATACCTATATTATGTATTTTTAAGTAATGTATCATAATTCATAGAACATCATTAATTTTGAAAATCGTTATATTAGCTATTTGTACCTACATACATATGTATATATAGCTTTATCTAACACTTCAAAACAACTTATACTCATTTAAATTAGGTCAAAAAGGCATTTTCTAACACCATCTTCTCATTTCCAGCTTCGCCAGTGGCTATTCGATGACTGCCCTATACGACATTCGATTCTTCCTGTCTCGGATCTCATTGGAGAGGATGCACAAAGCTGTGCACGAAATTCGAGACAACGGTCATTACCCGAGGATCTTCCCGACTAGGAACACACGCAAAATTGAAGTTGAATCCATCTTAAAGTGAGTATGAATTGTTCGTACCTTCTTAATGTGTTTTTAATTACGGTCATTATTATTATTATTATGTGTCTCTATTTGTATCTGTTATGACAACTAAACGGATGAACCGATTATAATCATAATTGTTTAAAAGTTGACTTATTTCGTTTTTGTACATGATCGTACAAAAACGAACGTCATGTTCGTTTGCCTCCTATCCCATGTAATAGAATTTTAAATTAGAATAGAATTATAAATAGGCTCAAAAAGAAGACTTTAAAAATGGGAGGTTTTTAGTTTCTTACTGGAACGGTTTGTACAGTTTCCTCGGTCAAAAATAAATTATTATGATATTTCAATCCAATTAAATATTGAAAAGTAGTACACGTTCATTCATTGATTTGCCGATATACTTAATTTTCGATTTATTCTTGCATTTTCTTTAGATATAAGTGTGCTATTTGACGCGAAAATATGATGACGTCATAAGCTAGTATTTCGTACAAAATTTATAGAACAGTATTGTTTTTGACGTTTCGATAAAAGTATTGAATTTGACTAGTTGTCAACTACCTTATTTTTCTTATAATGACATTTTTGTCAACATCGTAGTTCTTTATCATCATACTAGCTAGTTTCACGCGGTTTCACACGCTCTGCTCAGCTCCTATTGGTCATAGCGTGATGTTTTATAGCCTATAGCCATCCTCGATAAATGCGCTATCCAACACAAAAAGAATAATTCAAATTAGACTTGTAGTTATGGAGATTAGCGCGTTCAAACAAACAAAAAACAAACTCTTCCATTTTATTAAATAGTATAAGATTAGATTTGTTGGATACCTTCTCCATTCTAACGCATAATTTTCTATTGTTAACAGTTACTTCAATCCGCTGGTGGAAGAGAATGTGGAGCAGCGTTGTGCAGTGGAGCGTATAGTGGCGGGGACGTCTGGCACCGCGCCCTACATGGTGCACGGCCCGCCCGGGACTGGCAAGACTATTACCATCGTCGAGGCTGTGTTGCAGGTAATATTCAACGGTTATTTAAAATTTGTGCTATTAAAATAATTATTATTCATTGTTTTACGGGACAAAGAAAACATTACATAGTTCGATTTGAGATGTTTTTTAAGTGAATTTCCTAAGGACTGCCTCGTTGGCCAAATGGTCGTAAGTGCGACTGCCGGTTAAGGGGTCTCGGGTTCGATTCCCGGGTCGGGTAAAGTATTACTGGGTTTTTAAAAATCTCAGTAGTAGCACGGAGTCGGGAAATGTGCCCGGTATATGGCAATAGGCTCACCTCCTATTACATGGGACTCATAACATAAATAATGAAAAGTGGGTGTTACATTGTACAGTGGCATTAAGTGCCGAAATGTGCACCTACCCCTTCGGGGATAAAAAGGGCGTGATGTTATGTTATGTTGAATTTCCTAAGACAAATTTTTTATTATTACATAAAAGTATCTATTTAAATATTAATAATCACACGGCGATTGATTGAGTTGATAATATTTTCGAATTAAATTAAGAGCCGAGGACATGAAAAAAAGGCGGACATAGTCTCCTAAAACAACAACTGTGCCACCTTGCTACTATAGACTTACGCAGAATACACACACATTGACACGAAGGACATCTGTTGCTTGACATGGCCCGTTATTATACTTCATACATTACGGTGTTGCAAGTGCACGCACACATAAATACACCACTGACATTTTGGTGCTTCAATCATTTCTAAGTGACTTTACGCCGGCCTTTTTTCAACGTATTTGTTAAGAGCAATAACTTAGAAATTCACTATCCTTTCAAGCTGGAAATTACCATAATATTCTCTTCAATTTAAATAGGTACTTAAATAAAATTGTACTAAAATAAAGTACTAATACTAGTCAATATTTTTCAGTTGGCAATACGACCTACGAAAACCCGCATACTGATATGCACGGACTCCAATATGGCGGCGGACCACGTGGCGTGCATGTTGATCAAATACAAACACATGTTCCCAAAGGGCAAATGGTTGCTTCGAGCCAACTCTAAGTTTAGGAACTGGTTAGTACCTATACCTATCTAGTCTTCTTTACACTGATGAATCCTAAAATTGCGAATAGTTTAAAAATTTTTTTCTATTTATCTACTTAAAACTTTATCTTTATTGGCTTTACAATTTTTGTCAGCTTATTTTTAAGCGTCGTAACTAATATTTCCATTGAACTAAGTAATATTAATATTATAAATACATGGAACTAAAAACTAAATTAATTCAAAAATAGACAAAAAAATGTTCCTCATACAATTACTTCAAAGTACAAATTGCATCGCAATGAGGACATTGCGATGCAATTATTAATTTATTTGAGTCTCTCATGGGTTTCTCAGTGAGTCTCTCAGTGAGTTTACCCTCCTGGCGGTATTTGCATATATACTTATTGTATATAATTAGTTCTATAAAGAACTAACGGTCAAACAAAAAAGCATCTTAAATTATAAGAATTAAGTTACATTATGCTTTCTTCCAGGGACACATTGCCGGAATGCTTGTACAAATTCTCCAATGGGAGAAGTCGTCAACAGTTCGTGAACGTCAGCTTAGACGATTTTGTAAAGTACCCTATTGTCATCACCACACTATCCCATGCAGCCAAGTTTGGACGGTAATTATACTTAATGTACTAGTTTTTACCAGCAGCTTTGCTCAGGTACTATTTCCCTATGTATGTAAGCAGTGAATGTCCAATGTTTCGTTCATACAAACATTGTCCTAACAATAACAAACCTGACTGCAAGGTTGGCGCTGTGGTTGGGCACCTGACTGCCGCGCAACGTGTCGCGGGTTCGATTCCTGCACGGAACAACTCTTTGTGTGATCCAAAGATTGTTGTTCCGGGTATGTGTGTCATGTGTATGTGAACTTGTATGTTTGTAAACGCACCCACGACATAGGAGAAAATTCTAGGGGCAATGTTTTTTTTTAAATCCAACAATACATTCATGAAATCCATTCAGCTGTTCTCGAGATTTGCGCGTAGCAACACATTCATTTTATATTACAGATTAATCCACAATAGTAGTACGTAGTTTTCGCAGTCGATAATAAATTATTTCGACTGTCCAATAGGAGACTGTATAAAAATATACATACTTTCATTAATTGGTAACGACATTGTTATCGATACTTTCTAGCTAATTTTCTATATATTATAAATCAAATAATTATGCTATTTTACGCAAAGATATAATGACGTCATTCACTATATCGACGTCAGTCACTCAAAATTTATAAGAATTATCGTTTTTTTTACATTTTGATCAAAGTCTTATATTTGAGTAGTTGTTGAATATATGTATACTGTACTGGCTTCTGCCATCGGCTTCGCTTGTTGCCGTGGGATGAAAAGTAGCCTATGTGCTCTTCCAGTCCATAATCTACCCCAGTCCCAGATTTCATTCCGATCACTTCAGTCGTCTTGAGGTTTTTAGTAACAAATATACACACAACACAAACTCACTTTCGGATTTTTATATTAACTTTTATAACAACTTAACTGTCCCTATACAATAAAATTTTCAATTACGCCACGTCCATTGTTTTTTAAAGGTCAGGGTTTTGCTACACGTCCACGTAGTTTTTATTAGGTTCTCACACATAATCTATTATACATATTGTCTGGACTTTAAAAGAGACAGACCTCTGAGTTTGTTTCGGCATTTCTTCTCAGAGTAGTCAGTTAGGAAATGTCGACCTCATCGTTCGCTTGATAAAACTGACGTGTAAAAGTGCTGCTTTGTAGGCCTATTTGCAAAAATAAATTCACTTGTTTCACTTGTAGAATTTGTTGCCACGCTCATATCAAAAACACACCCCAAACTTGTACCAAAAATAGGTCACCTGTGACGCATGAACTTATTAAAAAAGTTCATCTTGAGTTGTATGTGACTCCTTGGACAGTTAAGTTGGTAAGATAACAACCACATTCATTATTTACAGACACATGCTTCATCGCCGTATGGGCAATCATATTTCCCATCTATTCATTGACGAGGCGGCCCAGGCCAGTGAGCCAGCCTGCCTGATCCCAGTCTGTGCTCTACTGAAGCAAACTGGCACCCTAGTCCTGGCTGGAGACCCACACCAACTCGGTCCCGTCGTCATATCCAGGACCGCTGCGGGAATTGGACTTGGTATGTATATTTTATGCAGGTAGTTTAGATGTGGATTGGTATGTTGAACCTTATTGCTAGAATGTAAAGTTGATTTTTGTTAAAGAGTTGGGGAGATCTGCTGATTTTTGTTGTTTTTTCATGCTATCAAGACAATTATGCACTTTTAATTTTTTTTGACTTAGTGCCTAATATTGTTGATATTTTTGTTGAATTAAGTTTTCTCAGTGAGATTTCTCTCAACGCAGAGTTTCTTTTTGTCGTCATATTGTTGACATACATGGGACTCATAACATAAATAGTGAAAAGTGGGTGTTACTTTGTACAGTGGCATTAAGAGCCGTAATGTGCACTTCTGCCTACCGCTTCAGGGATAAAAAGCGTGATGGTATTATGATGATAGAGTTGTCATACAGGCTGCTTGAAAAAAAACCAATAAATAATAAATATATTGAACCAAGAAAAAGTTTACACAGTTTTGTTTTACATAATGCCTATCATATAACTTACACAATATTTTAAACCTATAGGGTACTCAAACATAGTACATATCTTCCAGGGTATACTTAATAAAAATCGTAATTTATTGTTACCACAGGAACATCTCTGATGGAGCGTCTGATGAAGACCTGTGACTTGTACTCTGATGAAGAAGACAAAACCGACTATGTTGTAATGTTGCGAGACAATTTCCGATCGCACCCTGATATTTTGGAAATTCCTGACAAACTCTTCTACAAGGGACAACTTCGGGTATGTTTTTTTTTTTAAACATTGCCCCACATTAGGATTTTCTCCTGTGTCGTGGGTGCGTTTACAAACATACAAGTTCACATACACAATGACACCCAGACCCGAAACAACAATTTGTGGATCACACAAAGTGTTGTTCCGTGCGGGAATCGAACCCGCGACACGTTGCACGGCAGCCGGTTGTCCAGCCACCGCACCAACCGTGCTACATGTACACATGTTTTTATACATTCATATCACATTACCCGCTTCTCATGCATGAGGGCGCGGATTCAAATTGTTCTAAACCTACCAATGGCAAGTATCAATACACTTTTTCCGAGTTATATGTACTTTCTAAGATTATTTAGACACCACTGGCAAACGGTGAAGGAAAATATCGTGAGGAAATCTGGGCTTTATATTTCCAGTTATTAGTTACTAACCCGCATTGAACGCGTCCGGGCCTAGTGCAGGCCATGATGCGGAGCGAGGGGGACTAGGATGCCGTCTCCTCCTTTTGCGAAGCAGTCATGCTAGCTAAGGAGGAGGCGGGACGCGTGAGGCAGCGAAGCGCTGCCTCCTCGCAACCCAGCCATCGCGAAGGACACACCGGGCGTCGGGGATCGCGGGACGATCTCCGGCCACCGTAAGCGCGGGCCTGCGGACGGCGAGCATGGGTGGCTCCCCGTCCGACCAGAAACAGACCCGAGCGTACGGCGCGTCGTGTTTCGCGCGCGCCTCAAAGAGCCATCAGACCACCACAGATGGGGCCCAATAGGGCCGATGCCGATTCGGAGTCGCGGAGAACCTAACGGGTAACCGGGGCTCCGGCTCGACGTGCAGGAGAAGGAACGGGGTGGTTTTTAGTCAGTAAGAGTCTGACACTCCCTTCCGCCTCACCCAGGCGGGAGCAGTCATTCGATGATTTTCCCCCCTTAAAAAAAAAAAAAAAAAAAAAACCCGCATTGAACAAGCGTGATGATTAATGCTCAAAACTTGTCCTTGTGAGGAGACGCTTTTGGTTAGTAGTGGTTACTTGCCATGGCCATGACAGTCCACTGCCATGACTCTGACTATAGGTCTGTTCTACTTTGATAAAGCAGTTTGCTTTTTGCTTTAATCCAACAGGGGACTGGGAGATCATACTTTACAAAGTTCAGGTTTATCTGAAAGCGCATTTGCCCGCCCTCTGACATATACCGATACATACAGCGCCATCTATACCAATACTTTTGTTTTCCCTCGGGAATATCAAATTTTTCCGGTATAAAAAGTACCCTATTATTTAATCAGGACTTCTAACTTTACGTCTGCAAAAATACAAAGCAATCGGTTCAGCAGTTACGGCGTGAAATCGGAACAAACAAACTCATTTTCCGATGTATAATATTATATATAGTAAGGATTTATGTTAAAATTTTGATGATGATAAATATTTTTAAATAGTGTATGCCTAATGGGCAGCTTTTTGCGCTACTATAATAATAAATTTAAGACCCTTTTGTATCACCAAAAATCGCACGAATAAATACTTTGACTTTGACTCTGTGCAATATGTTGTGTGATTGCTCTCATGAGCCCCGTTTCAAAGATGTGTGTTTGGGCGTTTTGTAATTTGCCGTCGTCATACAGTAGAGTGGAGTAAACTATTACTTTTATTAATAAACCGCGAAAATATGATGACCTGAAGGTTAAGATCTCACTCTTGAGCATAAGGGTACGGGCTGCCAAGTACCAATGTGACTTTTAACCGCTTGTCTGTCATTACATGAGACACAATAGAAGGCGCATTGTGTCTCGCGTAGATCTACGCTCTGACGTTCCAGAGGTTAATGCGAAAAGAATTTTTCTCAGCAGTAGAATAGACATTGACTGCACGGTTGGTGCGGAGGTTGGGCAACAGGCTGCCGTGCAACATGTCGTGAGTCTGATTTCCGTACGGAACAACTCTTTGTGTGATCCACAAATTGTTTTCCGTATCCACAGTTGTGGGCTCGTCCACGACACAGGAGAAAATCCTAGTGTGGGGAGATTTTTTTTCAAGAATAAAGACATTGACTGATGACAGTGATGATGGGATAAAATAAATGTAGAGGTCGCTTATTGAAATAAAATTGTTAACAGGCATGTGCCGAGCAAGATCCATTGAGTACCATCGATGTCCTGGGTGAGAAGGAGACCAGTCGTGCCATCGTGTTCCACGGAGTGTTATCCAAAGAAGAGAAGATGGGCAAGTCACCGAGGTATGTTAAACTTTAAAATGAATTGTTATTAACACATATTTTGCTTATTTTTTCTTGTAAACTATCGAGTAGTGTCTGGCTGTGTGATTTCGACCTTATTTCCTCGAAGTCTTAAGCGACTTTTATCAAAACAACGCCGATACAGTAATTTTTCACATGTCGTGTGACAATGCCGGAAAGCGGATCCACGCGACACACAACTATTTTTAAGGAATACAAGCTATAGGCTCACCCCCTATTACATGGGTGGGACTCATAACATAAATAGTGAAAAGTGGGTGTTACCATTGTACTTACAGTGACATGAAGTACCATAATGTGCACCTCTGCCAACCCGATCAGGGATAAAAGGCGTGATGTTTAAAAGCCTTATAAAAGTATAAGCCATATAAAAACTAGCAACCCCTACCCGATTTCACCTGCTCTGCTCGGCTCCTGATCATCGTAGTCTGATATTCTATAGCTTTCCTCGATAAATGGACTAATGCCGGAATACTGAAACGTTACTCAATTATAAGTCGTGCTTAAATCGTGCCATCTCTGTCATTTCACAAAGAATTAGAGGTGACAGAACTATACTTAAGTAAGCGTGACTTAAAATTGAGTAACGTTTCAGTATTCGGGCATAAGCAACACAAAAATATTTTTTCAAATTGATCCAGTAGTAACCTAAGATTAGCGCATTCAAACAAAGACCCAAACAAACAAGTGTGGGAGAGACATGCTTCGGCACGAATGGGCCGGCTCGACCGAAGTGATACCACGGCCGAGCAGAAGACCGACGTGAAGCTACGCTTGCGTTGTGTTTCGTCGTGTGAGTGAGGTTACCGAGGTTACCGGAGGCCCAATTACCCCCCTTTAGCCAATCCCTGAATCGCCAACAATCCTCAAAGTCCTAATCCCAAAAGGCTGGTAACGGACTTGTAACGTCTCTGGTGTGTCCATGGGCGACGCCGATTGCTTATCCAGGCGATCCGTCTGCTCGTTTACCGGCTTATGCCATAAAATAAACAAAGTCTTCAGATTTAAATTAACGATAACATAATAGTAATTGTCAAAATAATACGGTTATTATCAATTTTTCCAGCTACTTCAACATGATGGAATGCGAGATGGTGCAGCAATACGTAAAACGTTTGGTGCAAGTACACAATGTATCTGCGTCTGATATTGGCGTCGTCACTCCGTACATACGTCAGGTGAGATATAGAATGCATTATAACTTGAAATTCTTGAAATCATTATATGAAACTTAAGTAAAAACATAGTCAGTAAATTAGTAAATCATTATAATGAAATGAAATATATTTATTCGGCATAAGAACATGTCTTATAATGTCTTTATAACAAATAATGTTAATTACTCGACAAGTTTCAAGTTAGAGCCCGCGATCATAGCTAGCTATCTAATAATTATCTCACGATAGTTACAAAACAAAAAAAATACATTTAGGTTTAGTGAAGAAATCTAGAATTTTATTTTAATATAATCTGATATTTTTCTCAGGTATACCAAATAAGGAAGTCGCTACAAGAATGTGGCATCAGGAAGATAGATGTTGGTACTGTGGAAGGTTACCAAGGCCAGGAGAAGCGCGTGGTCATAATATCCACCGTCAGAGCGAACTGCGACTTACTGGAGTATGATGCCAAGTTCCAACTCGGCTTCCTTGTCGATGATAAAGTAAGAATCTATTGATAAAAAAAATCTCACTATTTTAATACATACAGAGCCCCACACTAGACGACCGGTGACAGTTATTTTCTCATTTGCCGTAGTGAAATTTTCTAACACATAATTTACACTATACATGCACATCACATGCAGACCAGAAACAACAATTTATGGATCACACAGTCGAACTCACTGCACTTCACACTACATCCAGTCGCTAATTGATCGTAGAGACAAGATTATTTATATTACATGTAATTAATACATACAATGTTTATTTTCCAGCGTTTCAACGTAGCCATTACCCGCGCTAAAGCCAAAGTGATCATCATTGGTAACCCGCTGTGCTTAGACAAAGACGTCAAATGGCGTATGTACATGGATCGCTGCCGGGAACTGGGAACATACCATGGTTTCGACTCCAAACACATCATGTCTAATGGTAGTGGCCAACAAATTGTAAATAAACTAGCTCCTCTGTTAAAAGGCATGTCAATAAGCGCCAGAAAGCCAAAGAAGTAATTATTTTTGGACTCATCTAGTACGGTATTAAGCTAGGAGTCGTAATATTTAAATTGCGTTTTTTTTTTCAATGTCCTAAGTTTTACGATGGTTTTGTATAAGAGAAGTTAATGTCGTTTTTATTCTACGTCAAGTAGCAACAAAATGGAATTAAATCAATTAATGTAATTTTATTATTATTTTAAAATTTTTATGGATTTATAATTTGAAAACACATCCCTCTTGCTACGAGCCCTACGCGAAAATTTAACGACAAGTTGGTGCTACGCTTCTAATAGGTGCTTTGCCTGCCCTTTCGTAGGGATATAAAATTACATACAAGGGCATAAGGTACAATTTTCTACAGGCCCTGTGCACATTTAATCTAGCCCTAGATTACTTTCCGTATATACATGGCGTTGCTCAAACGAGAGACTTATGTATGTTTCTAAATGCATTTATTTTAATGAAATTCCTTGACAAATAATCACCAACCCGCCTATCAGTTGTGGTGATAATTTTTTTATGTAATGTTTGACGGATGAGAGCTTTTATATTATGAAAATAATGAAATATATAAGTAGTTTTCTACACCGTATTATATCAATGTATTTTACACCATAGTTTTAGAGTTTTGATACAATTGAGGCGTGTGGCAACATTACACTTATTTTTAAGCATTTTTGAGGCCTGTGTTGTCTATTACAATTTCTATTTGTTTTTTACATCCGCTGCCTCCAAATTACTCATTTCACCTTTATATTCGTATTGTTTTAAAAGTATGCATGCATGCCTAGTTCATCCCTATTAAGTGGGTATGTGTGGTGGGTGGGTATCACAGAAAAGAGAAATACTATTTCTGTTTTCTGTTAGTAAAATAACTTTTGTAAGACATTGTTATGTGTATTGTAACTACAATGAATTTGATCTCGTATTTCAAAAAAGTGCCATTTTATATTTGATGGAAAATTATGTGATAAGATAAGGTTAAAATAAAGAAAAGGAAGTATTTGCCCGTCTTTTAGGCGTATTTGTATGTATGACGCCTTGGATAATACGTAAAAACGTTTTACGTATTTATAAAGCTTAGTATAGTATAATGTGATTGGAGAACTTACCCTCAAAAAATGTAACTGTGATTGGCTTAAAGTTTAATGGTAAAAGTGTGCCAAAATTTCGATAAAAAGTTCACAGAACTATGGGTTTTCGGTAAATGTTGGCTAGTAGACTAAATAAGGGTTTTCTAATATCGATAAGGTGCAAAATAGGTTGCAGCGGATGTTAATTTAGTAGTTTGAGACCTTAGTACGAGTTTATTTTACATTTAAAGTGATTGAAACGAGACAGCGTTCGACGTTCTCATTGGTTGTTTTTTTTTAGCCAGCCAATCAGAGTGCCGAATACGTACTCGTTTCGATTAGTTTAAACGTAGAACAATCTCATACGAGGCCCTCTGTATAATTTTATTTACGTGACGTCTAATAAATGTGATATTTTTATATAACTCATTGCTTTACACTTGGACCACTTATTACAATATTGTATCTATAACACAGTTCGCCTACTAGCAAATTTTCCCGCCAACTACGTAGGTTAAAATGACTTTATTCAAATCGATTAAGATTTAAGAATCAATTAAATTTTTAACTTAGTCCTAGAATGTCTTTTTAACCGACTAAATAGAATGTTTAATAATTAATATTGACCCCACATTAAAAGGACTGTTGTAAAGTTTATAAAGATTTCACATTAGGCATACAGGGTGTAAATGAAACGCTTCTAAAATGCAGGCCAAAAAATAGTTTTTATAAGTTTAATCGTTTTTGTTTTCGTGTTTTTTCATGCAAAATCAGCCTTGAGCAGCTTAGTTACATAAAAGAAAAATTCAATTTTAATTCCTTACTTTTTTGAAAATTAATTTCATTTTTTATCATCACCTGTCTTCAATTTTTGGCAGTGTTCTCCTTACATCCTGTATATTTTTAGAATTATATTCATAATCCATAAAGTTTATTCCCTATAATTAAATTATAAGTTTATTTTCATACGAACGAATAATGAATAATATTTTTATAAATCGATTTTTTACTAAATACACCTAATGGATTATTTAATGAATCATTGACAAGTAGGTATTTTTTTATATTTTTTTTACTTACATGTCATCAGTAGTTTGTAGTTTGTTAGATTATAAGTACAGTACATATTTAGTTTGTATACATAAAAAATTATGTGTTAAAATAACGCACACGCCGCGTTTTGCATACACGCATAGAGTAGATTTGACTACAAGATGAACGAATCTACACCAAAGATTCTGGCCACATATTGGTGTGAATTTCATAGATTTTAAGGTATTGAGTGATTTATTACCAAGTTTTTGGTACATAATTATTTTATTTGCTGATTATGAACCATGTACTAGATTATAAGCAAGTATATTGGTGTAACATGGTTACAGCAACTAAAATAAATGTGAACATATTATTATATAATTATTGATATTTTGTCGTTCTATTCATGAGTACAGGGACGAAATCGACATTATACTTGTAAGAAGGCCAAGATTTTTCCATATGTTCTCCTTAAAAAATTTCATAAGTTTGTTGTTAGCATTGTTTATTTTACATAATTGATACTATGTAAATGATTTCTAACAAATTGCATTAATTTTTGTGCCATAAGTTTATTTGGAGTTAGAATTTTGTTAAAAATATTATAATATAATCGTTTAAAAACATATGGAGAGTCAATTAGTGAAAATATCTTGGTGCTAAATTTATAAGACTTGGAATAAATGTCTATACACAGATCAGTAGAAAATATACACGTAATAAAAATAATCCTGCGGTTTTATTTTACCCTTAACACACAAGATATATCTCGTAAAATGTTCAATGAGTGGTGCCATCTACATACTCGATGTGGATCTACTAGGAAGCAATTAAGCTTCACCTGAAGAACACGGTAGATTATTATTACTCCATCAAAAAGCAAATCATGTATCATCATACTTCATTTATTTTAAGGACAGACAATATCTTGATCCTCTTCCATCTCCCATGATAGCTTATTGTTCCTTGATTATTATAAAATACTGTGTAATATCCCACATTTTTATTATCATAATTACCTTATTTTCCTTTGGCCAGAAAATCTTTTATAAACTGCTTTTAAACAACAGACTTCCACTTCCTCTTTTTTTTTGAAGTCGCTTAATTAATCCTAAGTTAGTAAACCTTCTCCTGTGTTACAAACACTTTTCTAAAAATCGCATCATAATCGCAAACTAATCGAGCACAATCATATATACCTACAGGTTCAACTGAGATGCTATATTTTCAACCAACTTCAAAAAAAGGGAGGAGGTTTAATTCGACTGTATTTTTTTTACGTTTGTTACTTGATTAATCGAAGACGCCTGAACTGATTTCAAAAATTATTTTTTTATTTGAGTGGGTACGCTAGTCATTTGGTCCCATTGTCATTAAGTCAGGATCTGATGATGGAATCCCAGGGAACCGAGGGGAACTTAAAAAAATATATAATTCCCTTGACTGCGTCTCGGCTCCATCATCAGATCAACTCCAGACCTTTATCTGATTGTAGTAGTTTTAAATGCTTACTGAAAAAATTAACAAATGGGCTAGTCGTCCCTATAACTTTTGAAACTGGAATTCCATCATGAGATCCTGACTTCATGACAATGGGACCAAATGATCGCATCATAACCGGCACAAACATATATACCTACAGGTTAAACTGTGACCCTCCATTATTTTGAAGTCTGTTAAAAAGATGCTCACCACTAGACCCGGACCCGTATTGGATATTTTTGTTACCATTTACGAATTTTATGACGAACATGCTTCTGTCAATTTCACAAATGTCAAGTGTCAAATGTCACTGTCACATGGTTTCAAAATCGATCACTCAAAAATTCATCATATTCATTCAGTAATTTCGCGATTGGGATGCAAGTAGGTCGTGTGCAGTTCCGTAATAAATTGATTTGATATAATAAACAAGTTTGTGCTAAGAAAATTTAATGAATGAACTCAAAGAACAATTGGAATCGTATGTGTATAGAATTTAAACAGTTGCGATATTCGTAACCTCTAAGCAAGGTGCAAACAAACTAACACATAACTTGTGTTAGTTTGTTTATCATGGCAAACATCGAGCCAATGAGTATACGGGTAGGATATGCTGACATCCTGGAGCCTAGGAGGAAGCCGGGAGGCATTGTTGGATTTATGACTCGGAATTGGTATCCGCAACAGACTATGACTTTGGACAAGAAGTATTCACCAGAGGATCTCAAAAGTATGGTTGCTAACTCTTTGTACATGGACTCGATTTTGGAATCGGTAAGAAATTTTAAATATATTTTTATTCATCCTTTACTTGATAATTAAATCTGAACCAAGAATGTAAGCAAGACTTAGGAGATTACTTCCTAAATCCTAAGATATAACATAAGTTCTCTGGTATCCCAACATTTAAATGTTGGGTAAATATCTAGTATTCTTTTAAATAGTACAATTCATCTGTACAGGCTTTTCGAATTACAGTTTTTGAAAATTATATATCTATCAGTCTTATACGTAATAAATATGTACCTAAATAATATATTAAAGTTTGGATATTCCATGGTCTCTTAAATAGCTACTGCTACTATATTGCATTTGCGAAAACAAATAAAATAAAAAGTAATTTAATTATCCTACCAATCTTTTTAAATGTAAACAAACATTATATGTAAAAGTAAAACCATGGCCCAAAAATAATGTTTGTGTATATTTATAAAAATATTTTCTGATAAAATAAGAGCTTACACATGTATTGCTTAAATTTTTCATTCATGAAAATTTGACAAACAACAAAAAAAGAGTAACAAATGGATGCATGATGAGTATGATGACATAGCAATTGTATGTAGTCATTACTAAGTTATGATTTGGTAGGAAATAAAGATTGGTGTTTAAATATTCTTTCCTTCCCCTCCCACACTTCCTGCTAAGCCTTATTAATATTGTAAATGCGAAAGTGTGTTTGTCCGTCTTGCTAAGCCCAATTCAAAGAAACTCTTTTATGAATTATTGTGTTGGGAGTAGGCTGAACAGTGATATGGGTTAGCATAGCATTTAACTATCACATAATATCACTTCTTTCGTCCCCAAAGGGGTAGGGGAGAGGTGCATGTTATAGCATGTAATACCCCTGTACAATATAACACCCACTTTTCACTATTTATGTTATGAGTTCCATGTAAAAGCGGGCGAGCCTATTGCCATATACCATGCATAATTCTAGACTCCATGCTACTACTGAGATTTAAACTGACCCGAAATCGAACCCACAACCTCTTGTCCAGCAGTTACACTTGTGACCGCTTGGCCAACAAGGTAGTCATTTATCACAGTACATGTAAAAGTAAAGATAAACAGATGTTTTGTTACTCAGTTAACAACTCAAGAATAACTGAATGATTCTAGTCAAAGGAATAGATAATAGTCTGAAAAAAACAGGAGCCATCTTTCATTATTCTGATATTTACACTTCCGAAGTTAAATTTTCATATACCACTATCCTCTATTAGCGACTTTTTGCATAGATTTGTATTGAAAAACTTCTCTACTTCTTCTTTCATTTAGATTTGTTCAAGAACTGGTGTCACTAAAGAAGAGCTGCAGAAGCAGGTACACCATTTCTTGGAAGAAATGGGCCTTGATAAGAAGGTCCATGTGATTAGGTGGATGGGGGTGCTGTTCCTCAAAATCTGCTTCATGATGAAAATCAAGATGTATGTCAATGAAGCTGCTGTATTTAAGGTAAGTGTTAAAGTTTTAATAATTCTTTTCTAATTAAATAAATTCGAAATAAAACTTACATAGACCAATGTTACCTTATTTCTACTGGAGTCTCTTTTGCACAGAGTCATAGGAGCTTTTTGAGACTTGCTATTATATCAGCGATTTAGTTTTATATATATTTAGCAGCCTTGCAAAAATGAAAGCATATTTCACGGCGCATTTTCCGCCGTGGTTGCGATTGTTTGCGGCGCCAGCTGCACCAGCGGGCGCGGCCGCTCTAGCACCCGCGTGTTCTACGATCAGTTGGCGGGCGATTGTAATAGGATGGCCCGTCTGGAACGCAACTGATCGTTTAACCGCCCGCCCGTTTGCGATAATAAATCGCCAAGTTTGCGGGTGATAATCGCATCCGTGATAGGGCGCCCTCCAGCTAGATGGAGTGACGATATACGTAAAGTGGCTGGTAGTGGTTGGATGCGCAGAGCTGAAGACCGAGCTCAGTGGCATGCCATTGGAGAGGCTTATGTCCAGCAGTGGACGAAAACAGGCTCTTGATGATGATGAATCGCATCCGCGGCAGCTGCGGGAGCGCAGAAAACTGCGATCTCGCGAGTTTTGAAAATTCCGCCTCCATTCCGCAACGGGCGCTCGTGAAGATTGCGCCCTAAGTCCTTAGCCTTAATGTACATACTTTTAAGCTTATTCACCTCAAATTATTTACTAATGCCCCATGTATGGTTGTAGCTGAAGTCGATAATGGGCAACAATCCAGTCCTGTTCCTGCCCACCCACAGGAGTTACGCAGATTTCTGCCTGATGACCTATCTGTGTTACCATTTCAACATCGATTTCCCAGCCGTAGCTGCTGGCATGGGTATGTAATTCTTTATTTATAGGTTAATCCTTACTATCCTTACTCTTTACTAATATTATAAATCGGAAAGTGAGTTTGTTTGTTTGTTTGTTTGTTCCGCCTTCACGCAGTAACTGCTAAACCGATTGCTTTGAAATTTTGCAGACGTAAAGTTAGAATTCCGGATTAAAAAATAGGGTACTTTTTATCCCGGAAAAATTTGATATATCCGAGGGAAAACAAAAGTATTGGTATAGATGGCGCTATGTGTATTGGTATATGTCACATTGGCTTTTTATCGTTTTGTGACGCGAGCGAAGCCGCGGGTAAAAGCTAGTAATAAATAATATCATCATTACTTTTATCCCCGAAAACGTAGGCAGAGGCGCACATTACGGCACTTAATGACACTTTTCATTATTTGTGTCATAAGTCCCTTGTAATAGGGGGTGATCCTATTGCCGTATACCGGGCACAGCACCAGACTCCATTGTAATACTTAGATTTTTTTAAAACTCCAGCAGTACTTTGCCCGACTCTTGAATCGAATCGCACTTGCGACCACTCGGCCAACGAGGTAGCTATTAATAGTTTACTTTTTTCTTATATAATCATATATTGTTATATGTATTGTCATCAACGGATTTATTAGAGGCCAATACCGACATGCAATTCAACGCAATATGTTTCACCGCCTACCGCAATGGTTCCCGGTGCTGTGTGTTAATCACCTCACTCTGATCCATTTCATATAAAACTTAGGTATTGATTATTTCCAATAAAGTATTACTCATCTAACTTTTATGACTAAACAAATGATAATTATGATAAATAATATTAAAACACCTGTCACATCTGGTTTTTTCCAGATCCTGTGTTTAACAAATTACAGCAATACTTATAATAGGTGTTATTTAGGAGACGACTACTGTGTTAAAGAAGTATTTGAATTGTTAAACTGTAAAAACTTTATTTTGTCCAAAAATGGGGACCACACCTTTACACTAGGGCTTCATAATATAATCTTGCGACCAGGTCACATAACCAACTAGATGTATATTTGACTGCACGGGTGGTGCGGTGGCTCGGCAACCCACTACTGTGCAGCGTGCCGCGGTTTCGATTCCCACCCGTAACAACACTATGTGTTATTCACAAATTGTTGTTTCGGGTCTGGGTGTCATGTGTATGTGAATCTGTATGTTTGTACCCATGACACAGGAGAAAACGAGAGTGTGGCGCGACGTTTAAAAAAAAAGTTGTATGGAACATATCTCATTATGTTCATCTGGTGTGAACTTGCACAGGCAAGTGGTTGTCGGCAGCCGAGTAACTCGATAGTCGCGTAACCAAAACCTTGGTTGTTCTAGACACCAAGGTTTGCGACTGGTTATGGCCCAATGAAATCGGGTCCTAATTCCCTATTATTGTTTTAGATTTCTACTCCATGGCGGTAATAGGTCGTCGTATGAGGGAGACTGGCGCCTTCTACATCCGTCGCACGTTAGGCGGAGATGAATTGTACGCTGTCACTCTGAAACAGTACGTCAAGACTGTGGTGGCTAAACATACTGCACCCATTGAATTTTTCCTTGAGGGAACTCGCAGCCGGAGCAACAAGAGCATGCCCCCTAAATATGGTAAGTTCTTTTATTTCTTTTTTGGGGATTCTACATATTAGGTACAAAATGGTTTAAATGATGAACAATATTCACTGGGGTTGTATACATATGTATAGCCATGAAAAGGGTTGAATGCGATTTAATTTTCTCTTGAAATTATTTAACAGCTGCCTATTTACTGATCTGGTTATAATTGCGACTGACCATGGAATTTTAGGGTATTATAGGTCATGTTTCACCCGTTTATAGCACAACAAACGTGATGTAAGGATCTCTTGTCCTATTTTTTTATGGGTTATCCCATATTCGATTCGCCGTTAAACGAGCAGACGGATGACCTGGTGGTAAGCAATCGGCGTCGCCCATGGATAGCTGGAATACCAGAAGCGTTACAAATACGTTACCGGCCTTTTGGGGATTAGATTAGGAATTTGAGGAATGTCGGGGATTCAGGGATTGGAGAGATCAGGGAAGGGTGGGGGGTGGTAAGCTGGAGCTCCGGTAACCTCACTCATTTCACACGGTAACGATAACATCGCTTTTCTTTGAGGCCGTGGTATCACTCCTGTCGAGCCGGCCCGTTCGTGCCGAAGCAAGGCACTCCCACTCTTAAATTCCTACATTTTAGTATCTAAGTTAATGGACTTATGTTAGTTAATCCATCGCTTACATTTGCATAATTCAAACAAAAGATGATTGTAAATCCGTTTAACACTTAAAAGCAAAACATCTACTTCACTTGTATTTGTTCTAGTAAAATAGTTAAGCTAACCTGTATAAATGTTATCTATTTGCACATATAATGGCAGTTTGCAGTGTAAAGACTGAATGAAGTTTGTAGGTAAACTACAATGTTTGAACTGTGCATTTTACACGAATTTGTATGATATAACTGTTTATTATGTCGAATTGTCGTATAGATTTTAACTATTATGAGGTGAGGTATTGCGGTTGCGATTATGAAGAGACGTTATGTAGGGGTTTAATTCTATACAATACTTCTACATTTGTATGTATGTTTGTTTGTGTTTGTTTGTTTGTATTTGGAGAATGTGTACTATAAGAATCCGTCTTGTACTTGCACTGAGTTTGATGAGTTTTATTAAAACCTTATTTAGAGATCTGGATCTGGGGCCTAGCCAAAAAAGTTGGAAGTAGCAGATAAATGGTCTATTTTGAATTGGTAGGTAGCAGATTAAGGTTTAAACCGTGCGGGTGGAGAGCTAGCTACAGCAACCATCGCATTAAGAGGCTGGAATAGGTCAAAAGGCCCAGTGTAAGGTCGTTTTACGTTAACCCGATCGATACATTTATGACGTTCTGCGCTCTGATTGGCCAGCTCCAACTAACAAACCAATGAGAGGGCTAAACGCGGTAACGTTTCAATCGCGTAACGTAAATAAAAAACTCCCACTATTCCATTAGGTCTAAACTGCAACAAAAACTGATTAAAAATATTTGTTTCCACTAGGTATGTTGTCCATGGCAATGGTTCCATTCTTCTCTCATGAGGTGTCTGACATCACTATTGTGCCCGTGAACATCAGCTACGACAGGCTCATGGAGACTACTCTGTTTGCTTACGAACATCTTGGAGTGCCCAAGCCTAAAGAGTCCACTGGGGTGAGTTACTTTTTTAATAAAGTCATCAGAGCATTTATTCTATCTATAGACCTCCAGCTACCGAGAGCAAGACCGAATCAAGTGGCCAGGTGCAAGTGGCGGTATTATCTTTCGGCGTGACAGGTCAAAAGGTTCATCATGTACTCCTGAAAATGAATTTTAGACTGCACGGTTGGCGCGGTGGTTGGGCAACTAGCTGCCGTGCAACGTATCGCGAATTCGATTCCCGCACGGAACAACTCTTCCTTTTATCTGTTGAAACACCGGCTCCCGGTTTAAAACACATTATAACCGCAACTTTCAACAGACAAGAGGTTGTGTGATCCACAGATTGTTGTTCCGGGTCTGAGTGTCATGTGTATGTGAACTTGTATGTTTGTAAATGCATTCACGTCACAGGAGGAAGTCGTAGTGTCCCGAGGGGCAACGGTTTAAAAAAAACGACAATAAATTACAGATGCAACAACAAAAAAAATTATCGAAATCGGTCCAGTTAATTATGATCGCTATTTACTTTTGTATCCGACATTATAATGTTATAATTAATACACTGTTCTAACACTGTTAATCATTTTAATGTGAAATTAAATGAGTATGAATTAATTGAATTTCTAATTAGTATTTAGTGTGTATTTTTATGCAAAAATATTCTTGTGTATGTTTTGTCACCTTGACTATTTTGAATTGCGTAGATACCTACCTATGTTCTGAGTATTTTTTTGAGTTTTAATATAAATTAGGTATGTTAACATTCAAAAATTTAAACAAAGTCAAATACACAACACAGTTTAATTTAGCCATTACACTGTCAAACACCGCGAGGACACCGCTGTCCGCACACCCATTGTTCTTTAATTGTAAGGGTTAATGCTTATTATGTACACATATAAGTATAAACATAAATTTACTACACATAAACTTCGCACAATTTCAGACTACGTAAAACGAATACTGGACACCCATTATAATACTTCAACCCAAACCTCGTAACTGGCCATTTACTTCCCGTCTAAGTTAATAACCAATTTCAATCCATTTACTTTTTTTTTAAATCTAGATCGATATATATCTAGATCGATAGATATCGATCAACGCTTTTTGGTCCGCAGATAGATTATAATTTATGACGATATTATATATAACTAGCGACCCATGTATTATACATATAAACCTTCCTTAAAAACCACTCTATCTATTAAAAAAAACCGCATCTAAATCCGTTGCGTAGTTTTAAAGATCTAAGCATACATAAGGACAGACAGACGGCGGATAGCGATTTTGTTTTATGCGTGTATACTATGTAGTGACAACGTGACAAGACATATATGACGATGGTTTTGTTTTTAAAATGTAGACACTCTTGTAAAATTTTCTCAATCATTATCAAACAGCCTATATAAGTGGCCACTGTTGACCAAAGCCTCTTCATACACGGAGAAAGTTTGAGCATTAATCACCACACTTGCTCATTGCCGGTTGACGATTTAAATTAAATCTTATAATTAGAAATTATAAACCCAGGTTTCTTCACGATGTTTTCCTTCACCGTTTGTCAGTGGTGTCTAGATAATCTTAGAAAGTACATATAACACGGAAAAGTCACATTGGTACCTACTTGCTGTTGGTAGGTTTCGAACCTGCACCCGCATGCAAGAGAAGCGGGTGTCTTAGAGCTCCGAGCCATCACGACACGAGATTTGTCAATAGTAAGCATATAAAACCAATTAAGCAAGCGCTATTCTGAGAAGTTCGCGAGACGATTCGTAAAGTAATAGAAAAATGAGGTCAATGTCATATTTCGTATGACACAAGGTCGTTACTCGCGTGTTTTTAGTCAAAATCTCGTGTTCTAATGACATCTTAATGCGTATCTCAATATTAGAAAAAAAATTATCTATGTCTGTAAAGAATAATTTGTCGTAGAATTTTTTTTCTATGGCATAAACCGGTAAAGTAGCAGACTGATTACCTGATACGCAATCGGCGTCGCCCATGGACTCCTGGAACACCAGGGGCGTTACAAGTGTGGGTAACACATTTGTAACGCCCATAATATGCCCCTTTTTCTACTATCAGACTCTATTCTTCAGATGTCATCCTATCACGAACTACTATTCCTTTGTTATCGTCCCTGACCTAGTCTTTCCATCTTCTCCTTGGTCATACACTACCTCTTCACATTCGCCCTCTTTTAAATGGAAGCGTGGAGATTAATGCTCAAACCTTCTCTTCGAGTGAAAAGAGGCTTTGCTCAGCAGTGGGCATTTATAGGCTATTGATGATGATATTGATGAAATTTCTTATACCTACTCTGTTTACATACATCTTTGCCATCTGTATTGTATGTCACCTAGAGGAAACATCATGAAATATTCCACCCGAATAAAGCACGGATGCAAGCAAGCTAGAATCAAATAAATTCGCCCTACAACATTTTCAATACCTAGGTATCTATCTGTCATAATAGCTACCATGTCAGTCACTTCGAATGAAAATGTACCTTACGTTACGAGCATAGAGAGTAAACTATATTTATCTGTGCCCCACCCTTGTTATTGATTTTGGATTGCAGTTTGAAGAGTGCGATGAACCTAGGGCGTCTAGCGTCATGCGCAGAACATCTGAACGACTACATTAAATTGTAGCTATTGTAGGTAATTGAGATGGTGATAAATTATGACATCGTTCTCGGGATAAGACTACGTAGTGCAGTGGCTTAGTGACCGACTGCTAAGTAATCTGTTGTGCCCCGAAGTCCTAGATGCATTTTTATAAGCTAAAAATACTTTTTTTTTAAAACCACACTGGGATTTTCTCCTGTGTCGTGGATGCGTTAACAAATATACAAGTTCACACACACATGACACCCAGACCCAAAACAACAATATGTGAATCACACAAAGAGGTGTTCCGTGCCGCCATGCAGGAATCGAACCAGCGACACGTTGCCGGCAGCCAGCTGCCCAGCCACCACGGCAACCGTGCAGTCACGTTTTAGTAGTGTTGGCTCTGGAAACACGACGTAGTTAACTATCATGCCTCAGGAAGCGGTTTATCGGTTCAGATCATCACACAAGCAGCTATAAAAGTACTATGTAGACTCCAAAACTAGATGGGAAAAGGCCAGGAGAATTAAAAATATGGAAGGCAATTTTAATTTAAATGTTTGGTTTGGTATAGGGAATAATAGTCTGACGAAGCTGGGGTGCCACACATCTCGTTGGTAACAGACAAATTTAATACCTATCTACCTTTACAATAACTAACTCACTTGTCAAATGAAAATGTACTTTATGTTACGAGTATAAAGTATGTTTTATTACGACCTGATCTCCCGTGGATATTGATTGCTTGCAATTTGAAGGGGGTGAGATGAATACCCGCTCCCCTCACGTTCCCCCTCATGTCCAGACATGCGCAAATATCAAAGGTTTATTTGACCGTTTATTAAATTGCAAAGCTATATGAAATACTAGCTGTTGCCCGCGACTTCGTCCGCGTAGATTAATGACTTCTGACAGAATTAATCAGAATCAATTCAGTGCCCAAGTAAGATTTACCTATTTTGAAATGATTTATCGTAGTTTCAATAAATAAAAAATCTTACCAGTACAGTGCCCGATCACGTAAGGTTTGAGCAATAAAAACTATTCTATCGACTATTGTTGTACCGAATCTCTCTAAAATAAGTTCAGTGGTTAAGAGTTAGAGAGTCCTGGGGCATTGATGCATAGTTCTCGTTCCCGTGGGACATCTGTGATAAAAACTATCAAACGTTACCCAGGTCCCAAATCATTGTTTTACCGAATGTAATTCAAAAAGATTCAATGATTCTAAATTCAATGGCTAAGAAGATTTATACAAACTCTCATTCCCTATTTTATTAGGGGTGGAATTTATCAAAATCCTTTCTAAGGAGATACCTATGTCATAGTAACTATGCATGCAAAGTCTCAGCCCGATCAATTTAACTCGTCGAGTACCGGTTTTATAGACACAATTAAAGAACAATAGGTCGCGGTCACCGGTGACCGCTTGGTGTTTGACAGTTTAAAACTGGCAAAGTATCATACTTTCGGGTGAGAATGTTCAAAAACCTTCCTAAAGGGACGTTTACGTCATAATATCCATCTACACGCCGAATTTCAACCCGATCGGTGTAAAACTGACAAAGCTTCATACAAACGTTCATCCCCTACATTACCCCATTGGAGGTGGAAATAATCAAAATCCTTACTTGGGGATGCCTACGTCATAACATCTACCTGCATGCCGAATTTCATCTGCATCGGTGTAAAACTGACAAAGCTTCATATAAACTTTCACCCCATATTTTACCCCTTAGGGGTGGAAATGATCAAAATCCTTTCTTAGCGGATGCTTATGTGACAACATCTATCTGCATGTCAAATTTCAATCCGATCGATTTAAAACTGACAAAGTCACATACAAACTTTCATCCCCTATTTTAACCCCTTGGGGGTGGGAATTATCAAAATCCTTTCAAAGTGGACGCTTACGTCATAACATCTATCTGCATGCCAAATTTCAACCCGATCGGTTTGAAACTGGCAAAGTCTCATACAAAGTTTCATCCCCTATTTTACCCCCTTGGGGGTGGAAATTATCAAAATCCTTACTTGGGGATGCCTACGTCATAACATCTACCTGCATGCCGAATTTCATCTGCATCGGTGTAAAACTTACAAAGCTTCATATAAACTTTCACCCCCTATTTTACCCCCTTAGGGGTGGAAATGATCAAAATCCTTTCTTAGCGGATGCTTATGTGACAACATCTATCTGCATGTCAAATTTCAATCCGATCGATTTAAAACTGACAAAGTCACATACAAACTTTCATCCCCTATTTTACCCCCTTGGGGGTGGGAAATATCAAAATCCTTTCACAGCGGATGCCTACGTCATAACATCTATCTGCATGCCAAATTTCAACCCGATCGATTTAAAACTGACAATGTCTCATACAAACTTTCATC